TGCAGATGGCTCATGCCTGTAATTCTAGCTACTCAGGAGGCTGAGATCTGAGGATCACAGTTCAAAGCCAGCCCGGGAAGTAAAGTCCGTGAGACTCTTCTCTCCAATAAACCACCAGAAAACTGGAAGTGGTGCTGTGACTCAAGTGGTAGAGTGCTAGCCTTGAGCTGAAGAGCTGAGGGACAGAGCCCAAGTCTAGAGTTCAAGCCCCATGACTGATAGTATACTTAAGGAAGCAGTCCCAAGTGTAAGTCCCTTGAACAACTAATGACTTGTTCATCAAAATGAATACCAGAAAGTGGAAACACATTCTGGGGGTGGCTAAGGGGAGGGCACAAAATTGGGGGAGAAAAGGTAATTAAATGAAATCATTATATTCAATGTACATTATGTAAAAAAAAGATGTAATCTGCGGATAGGGATGGAAGGGGAAAATGGGGGAGAACAAAGGAAGGGGTGACACCGGCCAAGAAGCATTGTATTCACAACCTGATTTGTGGATTTTAAGTTCTCTGGACAACTACTAAATCATAAAATTTAAAAAAGAAAAGACTGGAGTCAGGACTGAAGATACATAGAGATTTTTTTTCCCGCTTGTCATTGTCCTCTTAACAATATAAGGGCCAGGTGAGGATGTCCTATGGTTATACCATAATCTTAATTACTCAAGAGGCTGAAATCGGAAGATGATGGTTCAAAGCCAGCTCTGTCAAGAAATTCCATTAGATTCTTATCTCCAATGAGCCACAAAAAACCTGGAAGGGGACGTGAGGCTTGAGTGGTATAGTGCCAATGAAAACAAAAAACAACGTAAGAGCTGTTCACATAGTATTTATATTGTATCAACTATTTTATGCCATCCAGAGATGATTTAAAGTCTACAGGGAGACTTCATGTGGATACTGTGTTGTTTATACAAAGGGCCAAGTGTCTATATGTAGATTTTGTAACCTTGGGGCTTCGAGAAGCTGATCAACCCCCACAGATTCGGAGGGACAACTATTCCCTGCTGCAGATGACATAGGAGCCTGTGATCGGATTCTTACACCAGAGTTCACTCTGCACATTTTTCTACTGCTGACTGCTTCTTCCACAGGCTCTGAAAATCCGATTGCAGGACCCTCTGCACAGCAGCTTGGAGCTTAGAATCCTTTTGCGCCACCTGGTGGAAGAACTGGAACCACCTTCCTCTGGGTGGAAGGCTTTGAACCACGGTCCTGTGAATAGAGGGTGTGTTCTTCAGAGCCTAAATGGCTGCACCAGTGCTGTGGTAGGAGATTCAAGAGGCAGCAGTTTGTCTTTGTGCTGTGTGGGGAGAGGACTGTGAGTGGCCTTCACTGTAAGATGATCTCGGCATTGCCATTGGGAGCCACAGACGCTACCTGTTGGAAGTGAGTTCTTCTCTGGGATGCTCTCATCTTGTGGAGACACTCAGATTGGGGGGAGTTGATTGGGGGGTGGGGGGATAGGGACCCACGTGATAACTGTAGTTGTTATTTCAGATAAGGCCCATTCCCACCCCTGCCCCTATTAAACCTTTGTGGAGAAGAGGTCTTCACTTCCTCTCCTCAGGCAAGGGAACTTGTTTGCTGGGCCTAGGAGCAGATGTGGCCACATGTGGGCCTGTATCCTGTGGAGTTTTTCTGCCTCTCACCACTGCCATGCCACTCATGGCCTACAAAACCAGCTACCACTCTTTTTACCTCACTTCCAGGTTCAGGTTTTGCTATTCTTTCTGCCTGGATGGTCCTTGTCCTTACGTGTTTATGGCTTTCTAAAAAGGCCTTTGTAACCAGGCACTGGGGGCTCAAACCTGTAATTCTAGCTACTCAGGTGGCAGAGCTCTGAGGATGGAGGTTTGAAGCCAGGCCAGGCAGAAAAGTCTGTGAGATGAAAATTAATCAACAAAAAGCCAGAATGATTGAAGGGTCAACTTATGAGCACATATAACTATCATGTGTGTCCATGTGCCTAGCAATGTGTCAAGATACAAGAGCAAAGTAATATAATTAAATGAAGAAAGACTTCTCAAATCTCTGAGAGAAAACCAAATGAAAATTAATAAAGGATCACTTTTGTGCTGTTTACTATGTTGAAAGTTAAGGGATAATGATATAACATGTAGAATTAACCTAGCTTTAGTAAGCTTATTTGCATATGAGACAAAGAAAGATTAACTAAGGTTAAGGGATTATAATGAGCCATTTTGAACAGATGTGCAGCTTCTACATGGACAATAGAAGCAAAACTTGACAGAACTAAGAACCACAAGGTGTAATTGTGTGTGTGTGTGTGTGTGTGTGTGTGTGTGTGTGTGTGTGTGTGTGTGTTAGAAGTGCTGGGAATTGAACCGGGCTTGTTAGGCAAGCTCTACTACTAACCTCCACCCCAGGAGTTAGAATGTGAAATTGTAATTCATGGGCTAAGCAGATAGAACACGTGGCATACTGCTGAAAGCAGCAAACAGAAAATTCATAGGCTATTAGAAGAGAATAGGGTTGAAAATGGAATACTTTAACAGCTTCAAGAAGTTAGGAAAAACAAACTGTATGTACTAGAAAGAGCCAAAAGCCAAGTACAACTAGGGAACCAAAAAAATAAAAAAAGTTCAAACACACGTAAGTGAGACTCTACCAAAGGGAGACAGACGCTAGACAGATCCTACCAAGTTTTCCTAACACATACTCCAGGTGCCAAAGCAAAGCATTCCTGTTCTCACCACACTCATGGTTATCTTTGTGGCAATGATTAAACTATTTTCTTGGTTCTGGTTCTAGGGCTTGAACTCAGGGCACTCATTGGCACTATCCCAGAGCTTTTTTGCTCAAGGTTAGTGCTTTACCACTTGAGCCCCTGCTCTACTTGAATTTTGTGATAATTGGAGATAAGAGTATCGTGACCTTCCCTGCCCAGACTGGTTTTGAACTGTGACCCTTAGATCTTAGCCTCCCTGTGTAGCTAGGATTATGGGTGTGAGCCATAGGTGCCCAGTTTAAACATTTTTTTGGTCAGTTGTGGGGATTGAACTCTGGGCCTGGGCACTGTCACTGAGCTTTTCAGTTGAAGGCCAGTGCTCTACCACTTGAGTCACAGCACCACTTCTGATTTTTCTGCTTATGTGGTGCTGAGGAGTCGAACCCAGGGCCTCAGGTATGTGAGGAAAGCACTCTACCACTGGGCCACCTTCCTAGCCCACAGTTTTAACTCTTAATTCTGCCAAACAGATGGATGCAAAAGTCTCACTTTTTGTCTGCATCTTGGTAATGTGTGATGCTGAATAACTTTTTCTTTTCTTGTCTGTTGTGGGGCTTGAACTTAGGGCCTGTGCACTGTCCCTGAGATTTTTTGCTCAAGGTTAGTACTCTACCACTTTGAGCCACAGTTCCACTTCTGTTCTGGTGGTTAATTGGCAATGCTTCTCATAGGTTTTCCTGTTCCAGCTGGCTATGAATGGCTAGGATCACAGGTATGAGCCACCCGTACTGGGCGCTAAACTTCTAGTATTTATTAGCCATCTTTCGCTTTCACTATGTGATCTTACTGTGTTCATTTTCTTATTTTGATGAACATTGTCACACTTTGTTTTTCTTTCTTTTTTGGGGGGCGGGGGGTCCGGTCATGGGGCCTGAACTCTGGACCTGGGAGCTGCCCCTTAGCTCTTCAGCTCAAGGCCAGTGCTCTACCACTTGAGCCACAGCGCCACTTCTGGCTTTTTTCTTTTTTTGCTTATGTGGTGCTGAGGAATCGAACCCAGGGCCTCATGCATGCAAGGCAAGTGGTAGACCACTGAGCCACCTTCCCAGCTCATCAGTTTTTCTTTTGTATTTTTTAATGTATTGTAATGATATTGCAGTTGTTAGACAGGTTATCTACCACTTGAGCCATGCCCTCAATCCTGTGAGCATTTTAAAGAATGCTTTCATTTATTGGGCATGATGATTCATGCTTGTAATCCCAGCACCCAGGAATCTAAAGCAGGACTACAGATCTAAAGGCAAACTGGACGACAAAGTGAGGGCCTGTCTTTAAAAAAGGGTCTTTACATCTCCAACAATGTAAACATATCCTAATTGCTATTTTATTATGTTTAGCCTAGCCGATCTATTTGGCATGCTACTATGGTAGGATTCAGTATTTGGTTTCTCTGATCTGAATAGTAATCACCTCAGCACCTTTCTTTTAAAATGATTCGTATGGATTACAACTGGAATCTTGATTCTATAGTATGCTTATACTTATGCTGCAGTCTCTCTTGATTTCTGCTTTGATGTGGCTATCCTATTAACCAATATGTTGTTTTAGTACAATTTCTGTATCCTTTTCTTCTTAAGGAGTTCTCACTTACATGTATTTTTCAGTTGTGTCTTTTGGATGCTGATGGAATTGTAATGACTTTGGAGCCTGGGTCTTTCTGGGTTCATGGCATGGCTCCATTTTGGTTTTTCTTAAAGAAGTAATTCTATTTGATAAACACTGCAGTATTTGGTGATTGTGAATGGGGGCTATTTAGGAAATGCATCTATAAACTAGTTATTAGAGGCAAGGGATTGGGAGATGTCACTGGGTACTGACAGGTAAGTAAATTCTGGTGTGTGTCTTCAAGTATAGGTAATGATATAGTATAGGAAATCATAGTGGACCCTATATTTCAAAAAGATAGATGAGCCAGGAGCTGATGGCTCATGCTTATAATCTTAGCTACTTAGGAGGCTGAGATCTGAGGATCACAGTTTGAAGCTAGTAGAGCAGGAAAGTCCATGAGACTCTTATCTCCAATTAACTACTAAAAAGCTGAAAATGGAGCCGTGGCTCAAGTGGTAGAGCACATGATGAGTTCAGCCTCAGGACTGGCACACACACTAGAAAAACCCCAAAATAAAACAAACCAAGAAAGCTAGTAGAAATGATTTTGAATGTTTTTTCTATAAACAAATGATATTTGAAGAGGTATGTTTATCTTCATTTAAATATCACACAGTCAAAGAAAAAAAAGAAAAAAATTACACAATGTATAATGTATTGACGCATTACATGGTACTTCATAAATACATACAGTTATACATGTAGACACCTTAGATGGTACTCCACAAATATTTACAATTTTATGGATCATCTAAATAAATTAAAAACATTGTCTATTAGTGTGGTAGTATTGATTTTTGTATATTCTAGCCATCCAAATGGACATTTCCATCATTCCAAGAGTTACTCACTGGCTTTTTTGGGTCTGTGTATTTTCTTGCTTCCATTCCTAGCATTAGTATTTAATTTCTTAGCATTTCACTGTGGGCTTATAAATTTTTCTTTTTCTTCCAGTATAGGCTTTGAACTCTCACACTTGCTAGAGAGGCAGTAAGCCATACTTCCAGCTCTAATGGATACCTTTTTCCTTTCTTTTAATCTGTTAGCGTAGTTAGTGGCATTGGTAGCTTTTTCTAATCTTTCATCTTGTTTTGGTGTTTCTGAGAAAGGTAACTGGAGAAATATGTTGCTTCTGGCCACTGCAGAACCTGTCAGGACCTGTTCCTCTTCAGGCTACCATCTGTATGTAACAGCTCAACAGACTCTTACTTCAGAGAAAAAACAGAAGAAAAAAGTACAATTTCAGGTCATCTATTTCAGAGTTTAGGACCTGAGTTTTAGGAATTTTACTTGCATTGTTCACCCATTATTACCAGATCAATCTGCTAACCCTTTATGCCTTAAGAAGCTAGTCAAAGTTCACATTGTTTTCATAGATTTGGGGAAGTAAAGAACAGGATAGTGAAAATAGTAGGAACATTTAGTAATTCACTTAGGGACAAATTTGACCCATGTGTAATCATTCTTCTTGGTTTCAAATCAATAATCTGTAAAATAGGTTCGTTCCTGAGAAAATGAACCGTTAAAGTGCTGTGAACATGTTAACTGCCCCCTAGTGGGGTAAAAACTTTCTAAAAGACAAGTAAGGTATTTTTTTATTTAAATGCAATTATGAAAGAAGATACAACATAACTACATTAAAATCTCTAAAGCCATGTAAAACCCGAAGGCATTAAAATTTATTAAATGATGCAATAACAACAGAAATCTTTATTTACAATAGCATTATTTAACATCAAATAAGCAAAAAGCATCAGCAAAGCAATATTAACTTGCATAAATGTATTTAAAATTTCTCTGAATATATCTACCTTTGCATAAACTGCTCACACTAGAAATACAAACATCAATGCAGGTGAACAAAGTGATGTTCAGAGTTAACTCCGTTTTGAAAATAAATCACAACCTGAACACTGTACGCTTTCTCCTGAAGAACCATAGTTAATATATTGCTTAATTTTACCCTTGTATAATCTTTTCATATACACACATCTCAGATGCAACTTCATGAGGAACTGTACAAATAAAACCCACAAATATGACAAAGGAAAAAAAAAGACAGTTAAATGTTTGCAGAAATGTACCATCATCACTACTCAGGAACATAAAGGGCAAGTGATGATGCACGTATTCAAAAATTGTACACAATTCACTATACAAATATAATACATCAGACAGCTATGTAGGAATATACAAGACTGAAAAACAGATCTAAGGCATTATGCTAGATTTTAGCATTTTGAGGTTCTTGCACATAGCTTTTACCTGTAGTAAGAAACTTAAAAGATTTTTGTTTTAGTCTATAAAGAAACACCAGGGAGAAAATTCTAATGAAAATCGAAGCCACTACAGTAATTTTCTTTTGTGCAGAGGATGCTTTGCTCTTAGGCAGCATACTACCATATAAACACTAGAAAATTTTAAATTCACACCAACAATTAATGGCTTAAGTTGCATTTCAAAATTGATTGTGTATCTTTGGGTTCTGCAAGTGGATCTGTGCCACCCAGTTCATGCGTTAAGCCCATATGAACTCCATTTTTAAACACAGATTAAAAATTGCATCATACAAACTGCAAAAACATTGCTTTCAATTATTACAGGCCGTAAGAGATACACGTGGGGGAGGGGCCTTTTTATCTTCCAGTCAACCAAATTCATTGTAGTAAAACAGCCCACTTCACTTTTAACCTTACCACATTACATGAACACTTAAATGGATTTTATAACCTAGTTAATGTATGCATACTTTCACATTATGTTTTTCACATTTAGTAATATTAAGTAAAACACTGATTATTTCGTCTATTAAACAAAAACCAAGTACTCAGTCTAACCAATTTCTTGTATACAGCACGAGAAATACTGATAACCAAGGGAATTGATTTGGCTTTTGCTTCTACAGTGATCAATATGATCAGAGGATTACTTCACTGATTTTCTTTTCCTAATTAGATGTAAAACAAAAAATCCATTACTTGATCTGAACCATAAGAGGACTTATATTCTCTTTCCCTTTCTAGACATATGATCATGAATTATTCTAACCTGCCCGTATGACAGGCTTGCAAGTTTGTCTGATATGGGATATACATCCCAACACAGGGCCAATGAATAAACAGTGATGGCTATGTGGATATTTGGGGGTGAATTATAGTGAAAAGGGGCATAAAACTCAAAACTGAACATCTGTGGTCTAAATTCCATTTTCTTTTGTGCTGAGTGAAGTTAAAAGTCACCCTAACTCACATATATTTCTAACAATTAACTTATAAACTGGTCACGTTACACTGTGTGCCACACGAGCCTCATGGCTTGGATGAGGCCTGGAGTTCGGGCCTACACCTGCTTGCCATCTTGACGTCTCAACTGGGCAACCCAACAGTTTGGTGGAGAAAAGTAGAGCCTTTGAGGGAACGTGTGAACTGGCGGCAGCTAAGAAGTGTGGTTCCTTGGCCACCTCCCAGTACTGAGAACCCTCTCAAAGCGGGAAGAAGTATTGAAATGCAAATTTCTAGAATGTCTCTTTAGTATGGAGCAACACTTTCAGACTGTCTACTTACCATTTCTCTTTGGGCTGTATCTCTTTCCATAGTCCCATAATTTGCAGATAGAAAGAGATATAAATATAAATAAGGGAGCTACTTTTGTACATTTTTTTTTTACCCTGCCAAAAATAATCAAATTCCAAGGGTGGGGGGGACTTGTCTGTTCCTAAAAAGCCTGGCTAATGCGGTATTATAAAATGCTTTGCTTTTTAGACATCAAAAAGATATCACTGTGAAATTTAGGTAAGAAAGTATGTGTACTAGGGTTGCGGAGACAATAGCTCAAAAAAGGTCATCAGTTTCTTGGTATTGCGGTTGTCTGAAACTGAGCCCAGTTAATAAAAGGCTATCCCCGGCGGAAGGGGCAAGAAAAACAACCATAAAAGTGGCCTGCTTAGTCACATGAAGTCTTTCTAAGGTTCATTAAGAAAGAATATAAACATACAAAAATCAAGAATTTGTTCCTACAGCGGCTGCATATCATATAGATAAATGATTTATGAGCAGAATCACAAGGTTTAGAAAATAAAAAGTCTTAAATCTACAAATTAGGTCTAATCAAGGCATTGATATCCTTTACAAAACACCTTTAGGAGACATTGCTATGAAGATATCTAATTTAATACTGAAGTACCTCATTTTTGAGTCAATTCCACAATATGTATACCTCACAAAAATTATACAATTAAAACACTTAAGTTCAGAACTTAAATTATTGCTTGTTTACATATAAATCGGATTTTGTGTACCTTACAAAACTTCGGCTTCGTCAGCACTGCTAAAAAACAAAATAAAAAACACATGGCAGAGGTGAAATCTGTCGTGATATCTGCTGTCAATTTCAATACACAAGGTATTTCTCCCATTTTGGAGGCCAGAGCTGCTGGGAACAGAATAATCATGCATCCAAAGCAGGTATCCTTAGCTTGATTGGAACCAAGGCTTAATTTCGCTGCTCTCCTTGCCAGTAAATGCATTTTTTTCTGAAATTCAATAGTTAGCAACTGATGAGTAGCTGGCAAAACATTTATGGAAGTAAAGGGCTTACCTGGCTTCTGTAGCTTATGTGACATTGAAACATGGAAAGCAAGGGGCTACGGAAGGCAGAGGGGAAGGTGAGGATGAGGGAAAGGGAGATGTGTCAGATCACTGTAAAGGGAACTCAATTTAGAATAGCTATGATTTAGGTGAACTAGTTGCTTTTAACAATGACAACAATGGAACAGATACTTGTTAATATTAACAGCCTCTTGCAGGCTCCTTTTCATCTGCTCAGAAGTGGAAACTGCAATGTGTTCTTTAGAGCTTTCTGCAAAGGTGCAATTATGACTCTTGGTTTTCTCTTATCGAGCGTGTCTGTACCTACCGCGCTGTCCATGTGTCTGCCCTGCTTCCTTCCCAAATGCAAGCCTTCGCCTCAGACACCTTTCACGTTAATTTTCAAGAATTCTTTTCTTTTCCCCAGATGAAACCATGATATTCTGAACTAGACTAATTTGATTAGCCAGGGAAAACAAAGCAAGAAACCAGTGTCTGGAACTGAACAGGAACAGAACAAGAGCATGGTTCTCCTTAAATACATACATTAAATACATTCAATCTGACATGGGGATGAAGTTTGCCTGTCAACATTTACTTCGCAGGAGAGATCTAAGTTGCACTAAGGTGAATGCAGTGAACAGACTGAGCGACGGTCTGGATGCGGCTTCGGGCTGTCAGGAGAAGAGGCGGCTCCTCCACTGGCGGCAGCCTGAGTATGCTCCATGCTGGGGCTGAGGCCCAGCTGTCCGCTGATCAAGCTCTGGGAGAACTGGCCACAGGCCAGGTGGATCAAAACAAATAGACACAGCTCTCCAGACTGGTAAGTGTTTTGAGCAAGTGAGCCTGGTCAGCTGAAGAATGAAGCAACCAGCTACCTTCAAGGTCAGCAGTATTTCTGTAGGAAAACATACATAGAAAGTTGTAAAATAGTTTTTTTGTTGTTGTTTTGTCTTTTTTTTTTTTTGGTATTAGGATTTGAACTATGGGTCTCACACTTGTTAGGCTGAAGCTCTACTACTCGAGGCATGCCTCTAGTTGTAATATCTGAGTTTCTTTTTTTTTTTTTTTTTTTGGGTCCGGTTGTGGAGCCTGAACTCTTGGCCTGGGCGCTGTCCCTCAGCTCTTCAGCTCAAGGCTAGCGCTCTACCATTTGAGCCACAGCGCCACTTCCGGCTTTTTTCGTTTTGCTTATGTGGTGCTGAGGAATCGAACCCAGGGCCTCTGGCATGCAAGGCAAGCGCTCTACCACTGAGGCACCTTCCCAGCCCAATATCTGAGTTTCTTATGAAAGCATCACAAGGCGCATCACAAAAACTTTCAACGACCCGACTGTTCTAAATAATGCCAACGAGTTTCCATGACTGACACAGGGAGGCAGAGGGGCTGCTCTAACTAGACTCGAGGCTTCCAGGGGGATGAAGACAGCACAACAGATTCTGTGCAATTTCTTGCAGGACATAATCTGCAAATGGACTACCAATCTGTTGTGATTGGCTTGTGCTACTGAACCAGCATATCCTTGTCCAATTCCATTTCTCCCACAAATATTACTGATGAACACAGTTGCCAAATGTCCTTGATTTTGGCAGCATATAACCCAGGAAAGCTGCCATTTCCTAATCTATCCCCAAACTTACACAAATACATTGCCAATAAAATGTCCCTTCTAAACAAGGCATGGTGGTGCATACTTACAATCTCAGTATACAAGACTAAGGTAAGAGAATCTGAGTTGAAGGAGACTCTGACTCCAAAACAAAACAATAAGAACAAAAAAAACTATGTAACCTGTAATCTTAGCTCAGAGGATCACGGTTCAAGGCCAGCCTGGGCAAGGCCTGAGGCCTATCTAACCAATAAAAAGCTAAACTGACTGCATCCTCAAAAGGAGGTTGCTCATTAAGAAAACCCTAATAAAACTAGAAGATATCTACCCTAAACAGATGCACAAATCACAACTTGCAAGGCAACACGACATTTCCAAAAATTGATGACTTGTTAAAATGTGAAATCTAGGGAGAAAATGGACATCCATGTAGAACTCCAAACAGGCATGATCAGAAAAGAACAACTCCATTGTTATTATAATAAAATAATAAAGAATGCTCAAAGCTGGTGCTGGTTATGTGCCAAGTTATGTTCAAAGACAAATTAACAAGAATCACAAAGGTAGAACTGATATAATTCAGTCCCTGAAAAAAAACCCCAATAACAAAAAGAACCAAACTGCCAATCAAGATTACTATATTCAGAAAAGTTATTCTTTAAATTGAAGGAGAAATAAAAACCTTCCATGATAAGCATAATCAAATGTAGTTTATGACTACTAAGCCAGCATTGCATAAGATATTTAAAAGAATAGGACACAGAGAAGGGAAGAAAAATTATGCATAAGCAGGAGAGCTCTTAGCAGAATAAATAAACAAATGAGAAATAGGAACAAACTAAATAGTATTAACTCAGTAAATCAGCAAACTTCTAAGACAAATGTATAAGTTAAACATTTCAGTAATAACCCTGAATGTGAAGTTTCTCTCTGTCTCTCTGTCTGTGTTGTTGCTGGCGATAAGCCTTGAAATCAGGCTCTTATTTGGCTTTTGGTGCTCTACCATTTGTCAGAGCTCCAATTCCAGATCCTTGCTGGCTAACTGGAGACAAAAGTCTTAGGGATGTGTTGTCTACCTGTGCTGACTTCAAACTGTGATCCTTAGATCTCAGCCTCCAGAGTAGTTGGGCCTACAGGCAGGAGTCACTAGTGCCTGGCTTAAAAGTCTTGAATCTCAATTATAAGATGAATGGATGAATTGTTTAAAAAACAAACAAACAAGATTCAGCTAGAGACCAGATACTAATGCCTAACACTAAATAAATATTCAGGGATGTGAAGTCATCTTGGACAGATAAATCCAAGAGTAAACTCTTATCTCCAGTTAACTGGCAAAAACCGGAAGTGGAGGAGTGACTTAAGTTGTGGGGCTCCACCTTAGTGGAATAAGCTCAAGGACAGCACCCAGGCCCTGGGTTCAAGGTGCAATATTGCCACCAAAACATCATCATCGACAACCACCACATTTGAATCATTCGCTGCCCACAAGAGACCTGACTCACGCCTGTAATCCTAGCTGCTAAGGAGGCTGAGATCTGAGCATCACAGTCCAAAGCCAGACTGGGCAGGAAAGTCCAGGCAGAAAAGTCCATGAGACTCTTAGCTCCAATAAACCACATAGAAAACCAGAAGTGGCTCTGTGGCTCAAGTGGTAGAGCGTGAGCTGAAGAGCTAAGGGACAATGCCCAGGCCCAGAGTTCAAGCCCCACCACCGACAGACAAAAAAAAAAAAAAAAAAAGAAACGTGACTTTTATTTTTAGTCAATAAAGTGCTGGATTCTCAGTCAGAGCAGTAAGGCAAGAATAATAATAAAGAAGGAGAGTCAAGTTACCCATATTTGCAGAGATGGTCCTATACTTAAAAGACTCAAGTCTCCACCAGAAAACTCAGATCTGATTAAACACCTTTGGCAAAGTAGCAGAATACACAAATAATTAACATATATCAATCAGTAGCTTTTTTAGATACAAATGATGAACTGAGAAAGAAATCAGGAAAACAGTACCATTCATAATAGGTTTTTTAAAAAGTACCTAGGAATAAACCTAACCTGGGAGTTAAAAGATATCTAACTGCAAGAACTATGAACATCAAGCAAGAAGACATCAGAAGGAAGAACTCACATTCATTGATGAATTCATAGTGTGAAAATGGCTATATTACAGGAAGCAATCTACAGATTTACTGCAATCTCCCATCAAAACTCCAGTGGAATCCCTTACAGAAATAAAAAAAAGTGTTCCTAAAATTTATTTTTTTATTTTTATTTTTGGGTCCGGTTGTGGGGCCTCAACTCTGGGCCTGGGCACTGTCCCTCAGCTCTTCAGCTCCAGGCTAGTGCCGCTCTACCACTTGAGCCACAGAGCCACTTACGGCTTTTTTTTTTGTTTGTTTATGTAGTGCTGAGGAATCGAACCCAGGGCCTCATGCATGCAAGGCAAGCACTCTACCATTGAGCCACCTTTCCAGCCCCTAGTGTTCCTAAAATTTATATGGAAACTCAAAGAACTCTAAATAGCCAAAGAAATTCTGATCAAAAAGGACTGTGCTGAAGGTATTATAAAACTTTATTTAAATTATACTACAGAGCCATAGTAACAAAAATAGCATAGTCCTAGAACAAAAAACAGACAGGCCAGTGAAATATAACAGAGAACACAGAAATAAATTTGTACAACTAATACTACCCAATTCCCAACAAAGGTACTAAAAACATACTGGAGAAAAGTAGCTGCTGGAAAAAATTCCATAACCACATGTAATAGACTGGACTTAGAGCCCTATCTCTCATATTACACAAAAACCAATTAAAAATGGATCAAAGACCTTAATGTAAGATCTGAACATTTGAAACTTCTAGAAAACCAGTAGTTACAAATAGGAGGAAATACTTTCTAAATGACTTTCTAAACAAGATTCCAATAGTTCTGGAAATGACCAAGAATTGACAATTGCTCCTATCACCTCTTCCCCCATAATCCAACCAATAAACAGGCAAATGAATTGGACAGTCCATACTACTTCAAAAGAAGTAGTACAAGTGACCAATAAAAAGACAAATAAATGTTTCATATCTTAGCCATTAGGGAAACACAAATCAAAACTATACTGAGATTCCATCTTAGCCCAGGCATAATGGCCATCAACCCCCACCCCCCAACAATAACAACACCAACCAACAACAAATGCTTCCAAGGATATGAGAAAAAGAAACCCTTATACACTGTGGCTGGGAATGAAAACTAGTGCAATCACTATGGAAATCAGCATGGAATTTTCTCAAGAACTAAAAATAAGAAATACCAGTCACTGGTATATACCAAAAAAAACCCCAAACCCTACATATATGACAGATGCATGTATACCTGTGTTTACTGCAATACTATTGACAATACTCAAGTCACAGAATTAACCTATGTGCCTATCACAAAGAAAACATGGTATCTATACTCAATAGGGTTTTATTAAAAAAATAATAAGATCATTGTCATTTATAGTAAGATGGATAGAACTGAAAACTAATTTAAGTGAACAGGCCAAAGTCAGGAAGACCAATGTTTTCTCTGATATTTGGAATCTAGATTTAAACACCTATGTACATTACACACACACACACACACACACACACACACACACGAGACTATTTGGAGAGGAAAGGAACTGGTAACAAAGGAACAATATCAGGAAGTGCAGGGGTGAAATCTGATCAACGTACATGGTATACATGCAAGAAAATGTCACAGTTAAACCTATTGTTTTATAAAATTAGTATGTGTTAATAAAAATTTAAAAAACCACATGAAGTCACATTGAGAAAATTATGATACTAAAATAAGGATCAAATTTATACTGACTTTCTAAGCGTGACTGTTAGTATTATTAACAAAACCATCCAAGAGGCACTTTTTTTGCATGGGGGGGGGGGGAGGAGACAGCCTGGGCGCTGTCCCTCAGCTCTTCAGCTCAAGGCTAACGCTCTACATCTTGAGCCACAGCGCCACTTCTGGCCTTTTCTACTTATGTGGTGCTGAGAATCAAACCCAGGGCCTCATGCATGCAAGGCAAGCGCTCTACCACTGCGCCACCTTCCCAGCCCCCTGACAGGTTTTTTGTTTTTGTTTTTTGGGTCTGGTCGTGGGGCCTGAACTCTGGGCCTGGGTGCTGTCCCTCAGCTCTTCAGCTCAAGGCTAGCGCTCTACCACTTGAGCCACAGCGCCACTTCTGGTTTTTTTCTTTTTGCTTATGTGGTACTGAGGAATCGAACCCAGGGCCTCATGCATGCAAGGCAAGTGCTCTACCACTGAGCCACCTTCCCAGCCTGACAGGCTCTTTTTTTGAGGCAATTCAACATCAATCTTATGTTTCTCCATTGGATAGGTGTTTTTTTTCTTTGGGTGCCAGTCCTGTGGCTTGAACCCACGGCCTGGGCAGTATCTATGAGCTTTTGCAAGGCTAGTGTTCTACCAATTAAGCCACAGCTCTACTTCAGGCCTTTCTGGGGTAGTTAATTGGAGATAAAGAGTCTCATGGACTTTTTTGCTGACCTGTCTTCAAACTGCAAATCTCCAGATCTCAGCTTCTGGAGTAGCTAGGATTATAGGTATATACTACTGGTGACTGGCTTACAAAGATTAGCATACATTAGTTGTACAAGGAGAGCTTCATTATTTCACTGTGACATTTCCATTCATCTAAACAATGTATCAATATTAATTTCCCCCATCTGTCACTCTCTCAATTCTCTACTTCTGAAAACAAGTTCAGATTTCATTGTTCTTTTTCAATACATGGAAACAAACTCTGCTGACCATATTCATCCCCACCCACATTCTTCCTTTGTCCTTCTGCTGGTGCACCTACCCTATCCAAGTTTGTTTTACTTTGGATAGAGTTTTAAGAGTGTTCTTTACTGCTGAGAGTTGTATCTCTTCTCTAAAGTGTACTGTGCAGGCCCAGTTACTTGTGTACTAAGCGGTTCACACATCTGTGCCAGGCACACATAGACCATGGAAATGTAACTCCTCTTGAAGTGTTTCAACTGTCATAAGCAAATAATATAAGCAAGATACAAGATTGCTGCTGAAGCACAATGAAATAAAAACACTAAGACTTAATTAAGGGAAAGCAAGTAAAAGTTAATTCTTTATCTTCCTAAACATTTATTATCATTCAGAACAGGCAATAAGAAAAATTTGTCCTAAATGACAAATTTTATTGTTTTGTTATATTATCATTTCAGTGCAAAACTAAGGTCATACACTACCATCAACTGAATTAAAATATTCATGCCAGAACACTATGCCAAATGAAAGCAATTTTACAATTACCTCTACCTTACTAGTTGATAACACATCTATGCCAATTTTGGCCTATAAAATACTCATTTTTGGAGTTGGGGATTTAACTCAGTGGAAGAATACTTGCCTGGTGAGTGAAAGGCCCTGAGTTTAGTCCTCAGCTCTGCCCCAAAGCCCCAAAACCAAAAACCCAAACAAAAACACTCTTTATTTCACTTCACAGGTCACATGTCAGTTGCTTACCCGTGATGCATCTCCTTCCTGCTTAATCATATCCATTCCAGGCAGCTGGTTTGGGAAAAGGCTGCCTCCCCTCAGAGCAGGATCATTAACCTGAGGGCAATAAGAAACGATGGTAGGGCATCCAAAGTGTACATGGAAAAACTGACCATTGACTTTCCTCTTCTTTGTTTTAGCGGTATAATACTGAGGAAGAGACCACACAAAAATAGCTTTATCCTATTCTCTCATGTATGTACTTTAGGAAGAATATACAGAAACATGAAAACTAGCTGTCTTCAAAAGTATACTCTATTTACGTTCTATACAGAAATTAAATTTGGAGATAATGGAAACATATTCATGCTATAACTGTTTATGGCTGATTTAAACTAAACTGATCAGTTATAACAGACATACAAGTTATTACTATAAGCACACAGTCTTATAGTAAAGAGCTTTAATTGTCTCATAAATATGCAAAATAATCATTTTATAGAATAAAGAAAGCACTGTAACCTTTAGAAACTTTTCACAAAACAGACTACCCAAACTTCAATTGTCTATTCTCAAAATCACATTCTAAATTGAAATTCATGGGCATGCCAAGAATTCATTGTTGGTGTCATTTAAACTTCCCATGTCTCAGTTTGTCCAAATATGAAGTAAGATTCAGGGTTCTTACCACCATTTTTTACTTTGAACAAACTACTGAAGTTCAGTAGTCAAATAAATAGTATTTTGGGTTCTTCAAAAGATCTGTAATACCATGTTAAAATTACTAATCTATATAGCTTTACCTCTGAACCATCCAGAGTTTTAAATTGTAGGCTGTTGACTTACTATCCATCACCTAGTGAAGCAGGTGCATGCTTAGGGACAGGATTATTTCTAGTAGTAAAAAGAATATTTTATCTTTGGCTAGAGACTGTCCAGGAACCTTGCACATGCTAGGAAAGTGTTTTACCATTGAGTTTTATCTCCTGACATCAAAAGGAAAAGTTTTTGGAGGATGTGTGTCAGTATTTTAAGCCAACTAGGAGGCAGATAGTTTTTTTTTTAAATCTGGTTTTACATTTAAAAATGAAATGAAAATGAGCCAGGCACTGGTGGCTCACGCCTGTAATCCTAGCTACTAAGGATGCTTAGATCTGAAGATCTCTATTCAAAGCCAGCCCGGGCAGGAAAGTCTATGAGACTCTTATCTCCAATTAACCACCTGAAAACCTGAAGTGGTGGTGTGGTAGAGTGCTCGCTTTGAGTTGTCCCAGGCCCAGAGTTCAAGCCCCATGATGGAAAAAGAAAAATCAGTTCTTAATCTGCAAACCCCAAACAAAGCCATAGAAGTTAGATTCATTTAGTACTGTTAAATTCCCCAAATAAAAGAAAAAATGTAAATGATGTAAAAGAAACATAAAAAAATTGATAGGAATTCTTCCATATTTATCTCATTAATAAGCATTTCTATTAATTTCATTAACAAAGGTAAAAATCTGGTAAAAAAAAAAAAAAACCTTTAAAATGTAAGTGGGAGTTGAGAGCAGACACTAGGAAGGTGCGAAGATACAGCTAGTGCAGAAACAGACAGAAAGCTATGGCTAGTAGACACCTGCTGCTTCTCCCTGGCGCCCACCTGCTCGGGACCCATGGAGGGCAACCCTGACGTAGGCACAGAGGTCACTGAGGTCATGCTGATCTGTCCTGTCATCTGGTTCATGTTGCTCATGCCACCTGTGTTGGTCGCCATGGATACATTGATGTTCATGTTGTTATTGTACATGCTGGTGTTTGCTTGCTGCCCGAAGTGTGGTGGGGATTGTTGTGAAAACATGCTAGAACAGAGCAGAAAGATAAATGTTAGCATCTGGCTGCAAATAGAGGCAGCAGTTCTGAGCACTTGTTTCTCAGGCACTTATTTACAGTAACTTAAATGAACTGGGGGGAGGGCTTGGAGGGGGCATGCAGCATGGTAGTCATGGTAGTGGTGAGGCCTAAAATAACAGAGGAAGTGCTCCAGAAGGCTGCAAAGGAATCAAACTCTTTCTAGCTTCTATATCACTACAATAGTCCACATATATTCCCCACTGTCCTGGTAGCATCAGAGGGACCTTTTGTTTGTCTTATCATTGTCCTGATAGAACTTCCATAGAAGTTCTATGATAAATAGGTATGGGAGTACCTGATTGGACTGCTCCTTTTACCTCTAAAGGAAAGATGTTTTGCTAAAACAGTTTTTGTAAATCTCTGGTACTTTTTTCTCTAGGAGAGTAAACTGGCTTATATAGAAGTATATTGGCATGACCCTTCTTCAGCTAATACATTTTTAAAAATGAGGATAAAAAGAAAGGTAATCTATAGAAGCTTTCCTTATCATTTGTATCAGAATGACTTAATGTGGTGTTACCTGTTTCCACCCATGTTCCCTTGTGCCCATCCATTCATGTCGGAGGGGGCCTGATAGGCTGGGTTGGCCTGAGACTGCTGCATCATGGGGCTCTGGGTATGTGCCATTCTGGGCGACATTAGAGGACTCTGGGGAGTCGTAGCCCCAGTGAAGCCAGGATCAGGTTGCTGACTTATTCCTTCAAAAAAAAAATAAAATAGAAACCCAGAGATCGTTAGGTTCTTTGTGGAGACGAGGGGAAAAAAAGAGAGCATTCCAAATTAAGTACATAAAGAAACTTTCAAACACATGATCATATGCTGATTAATTATATACATTTTAAAAAATGATCCTGAGCCCCCACAAAAAATTGCACAAAGGGAAAAAAAATCTCCATACTTTGAGAAAACAGTTTCATATTCCATATCTCCATGGTTTGAGGGCCATAATAATACACACACACACACACACACACACACACACACACACACACACACACACACACACACGTACACACACACACGTACACACACACACAAAATCCAAAAAGGAACTGGAGAAAGGAAACTGGGAAAACAGGCAACACCTCCTGAATGTTTCAGAGATGTGCACTAAATTTATTTTTGCTTCAGACTTGTAAAACTCATTAATAATACTTACTAATTAATACTTAAATTAGCAGTAGAAGTTTAAGATCCATACACTAATATAACAAGTTACACATTACCTTTGTTTCTTTAAAGAATTAGGATACTAGAATCTAGCCAACACAAAGTTGTTACTGGCTATATATAGATAATTCCAACAAGGGTTAGGGAAAGACATTTTGAATATTAATGTAAGCATTTACATCTATCAAAAATTCAGCTATTAATTGAACACAACATGCACATTAATTTTAATGTTCATGACATTACATGCTTGGTATTTTATCTCTTAAGACGGACACTGAAGAACAAATCAATATGAAGTAAACTAAGAGGTCTCCCATTATGGTTTCCATATAGTACTTCTCAGAATTACCTCTTGAGGCGGGGAGGGAGCACCTGGGGAGGTGGGAGGGAAGGGATGGCAGGGGAAAAACAAAGGAGGAGGTGACAATGCTCCATAGGAAATGTACTCATTACCTTACTCGTGTAACTGTAACCCCTCTGTACAGTATTTTTACAATAAAAAATAATATATAAAAAGAATTACCTCTTCATAATGTAATCCATAAAATCTTATTTTTCAAAAGCTTTAAAAGAGTAACTATTATGTATGTTTATTCCATTATTAAACAGTTTGTATTTCATCTATTGATTTGTTTGAGTCAGTCTCAGAGGCATTCAAATATAAATAGAAATATATGTGCACTGTGTTCACAGGCATTGATTAGAACAGATACACTCATACACATTCACACGCCTGACAGACAGACACATACACTCTACACATACACACTTACTTCGGTCATTCTTAAAGTAAGACCTGCACTCAGAGAAAAGGAGGTACCTGAGCTGAGAGCCTGGAAGGTACTGTGCTGGACTTGGGGACTCCAGCCAGGCCCCAACTGTCCTCCCAGGTTTCCTATCATTCCCTGGTTAGCCAGATTCATCTGGGAGCCATGCAAAGAGCTGTGAGAGAGGAGCTGTGACCCATGACTGGGGGACACTGGGGAGAAAGGACTGGTGAGAGGTGGTGGGGATGTGAATCCAGTACCGTAGTTTGGAGGAAATGGAAACTGCTGGGCATTTGCCTGGGGAATCCGGGGATTGCTCATGGTTGCTGGTATACCACTAGGAGCCACCATGCTTGGTGTCATATTCAACCCTTGTCCTCTCATCATCAAAGTTCTCTGCTGAACTTGCTGTTGCTGATGCATTTGTCTCTGTCGAAGATGCTGGTTTAGGATTTCCCTCTGTCGCTGGGCCAGCATCTGTGCATTAATAGGTGCCTAGATCAATACACAGAGAAGAACAATAGAATAGATCCAGATTAAAAAGGAAACCAATGATACTGTCTCATGTACAGTTACTTGGAAAATAAAATTACATAGGAAGGAGAGACTACTTAGAATTGAATAACTGCTGATTAAGTATGTGAGTTAATTTCTACACATACGATGATTCTAAAGTCCTGATAATATCCATTTACTCATTTTGTGAGAGTACAGGTAACTAAAGGACTTCAAAAGAACACAGTGTTTTTTTCTTTTTTGCCAGTCCTGGGTCTTGAACTCAGGGCCTGGGCACTGTCCCTGAACTTCTTTTGCTCAATGCTAGCACTCTACCCTTTGAGCCACAGTGCCACTTCTGCCTTTTTCTGTTTATGTGGTACTGAGGAATCGAACACAGGGCTTCATGCATGCAAGGCAAGCACTCTACTACTAAGCCACATTCCTAGGCCCACAGTGTTTTTTATAGGAAGACTTTGTTTTGTTTTTGGGTCTTGTTATGTAGTCTAGACTAGCCTTAAAACTTGCAATATTCTTGTCTTCCATATATCAAGTGCTGTGATTATAGAGTATGCCACCATGCCCATCAGAAGATTGGTAGTTTGTTCAAGGAATATTCAAAAGAATCAGTCATTGTGCCAAACGGTGATACGGTACTCCAGTTGCAGAAAGGAAGGAAGCACAAGAAGACAGACAGGATAAGGGAGGCCAGGACAAGGAAGGAGGAGAAGAGGCACACATGAATGGATGAAGGAAAAAGTACCAGTAAGAGGGATACAGCTGTTTATGTTTAAGAAGATTTAGTCAAACTTTTTGTCATTTGTGACTTTTATATTTGTAAATCCACTTGCTCACTAAAATTTATTTGTTAACACCAAAATCATAGCTTATGGCACCATTATAGCCATACATGGTCACAAAAACCTTGGCAAATAATTTCAGATGCCCAACACGCACATCACTCACTAAGGTGAAGTGAGATAATACTTTTTCTTAATGTTAAGAGACTGCCAAAATAGTTTCATAATATTCACATTGGTCTTTCTGTTGATGATTTTACTGTTTAAGTAGTCATTAAGTATAATAAAGAAATGCTGTCCGCAGTTATGAGGTATAAAACTCTGATGTGCTTACCTCATGGTGTTTAGGCTTCAGTTACAGTTTATTATCCAAGAGTTCAATGTTAATGATACAATATACAGACAGACAGACAGACAGACACACACACATACATGTCTTTGAACAGAAACTCACATAAAACAAGTTTATGTATTGGCTGACTGGCTGAGAGCATTGTGGCCATAGGCTTGTAGGATCCAAAGCCTTTTCTCTTCCCAGGGCAATAGCTTAGCACTCTCTAACTCAGTATTGGCAGCAACTTTATGAAATACAAGTAACTTTATGTAATACCAAGAATCAACTGAAGCTGGCAATAAAGATAGCTGCATCTAGAAGAAACTAAAAAAGTGAGAGTCTAAATAGATGGGACAGAGTAGAACCAGTATGTTGATGTGGATCTTATGGCCTTTTTAGGCCATAATCTGACTCACATTAGCAAGGAAGAAGAAATGACAACAGAATTTAACATAGTGAAAGTAGATGCCTAGTCCGCTCTCTTACCTGTGTAGGTACTCCAGGCCTCAGAGTTAGGTTCACATTTGAAACATTGCTGATTTGATTCATAAGTGGCTGGCGATTCTAAACACAGATAGATAGGAATCAATACCTTTTTTAAACAGAACATATTTTACTTTCAATCACCTTTTTTCAGTAACTGCCCTGGCTGACCCAGTACCGGCATATTGTTGGATATACAACTAATCTTCCTGTGTTTCCACCACCATCCCAATGCTGAAGGCCCCATGGAAGAACAAACCTGCTGTGCTTGGAGGCGGTGCTGAAGCTGTAGTCTCAGTTGATTTGGCTGGTTCTGCACTAGGCCTGTAGGTCTGAGGCCTGGTCTGGGCTGCATACGGAGCGCAGCATAACTAGGCCGCTGTCCCATGGTGTGGAAGTTTGCATCTTGCATGGGAGTATAGCTGCCCTGTGCCATCTGGGCCTGAGATGCATACTGCTGTGGGAAAACAGGGGCCTTCTGCTCCAGCATGATGTTGGAATCCTGACTTGAGAACTGTTCTGGATCTACTGCTTGGCTCTGAGGAGAAAGCCCCAATGACAAATAAGTAGATAAATAAATGAACAATGTAGGCAGGGACAGGAGGGGGAAACTGGGGGAAAACAAAGGAAGGGGTGACACTATTCATCAAAGAAATGTATTCATTACTTGACTTATGAAATGGTAACCCTCTCTACAATACATTATTATTATGAAGAAAATTATATATAAAAAATAAACAAGGCCACTAAAACCAGCACAGTAAATATAAGGCTGTTTTCTCTTGCTCATACATTTGAAGCTGTTTACCTGTACTTACTACAAAAAAGTATCATTAGCTAGACTCCACATTTCTATGTTATGATATCTGTTTGGAAGGTCCATTTATACAAAGACAGAAGCAGGGGTTGAGAGCCTGACTTTCAGCAGTCCTATTCCCAAGTGAAGGGAGAAATGAGTCACAGCTACAGAACACTTCTCTTCACCCCATCAATCAAAGCCAGTCACAGACATGAGGTTCAGATAACATCTAAAAGTGGTAAGTTTGTGTGTGTGCGTGCGTGCGTGCGTGTGTGTGTGTGTGTGTGTGTGTGTGTGTGTGTGTGTGTGTGTGTCTGTCTGTCTTTCCTGGGGCTTGAACTCAGGGCCTGGGCACTGTCACTGAGCTTTTTTTGCTTAACGCTGATGCTCTATCACTTGAGCCACAGCTCCACTTCTGTTTTTTTGGTGGTTAACTGGGGATAAGAGTCTCATAGACTTTTCTGCCAGGACTGGCTTGGAATGGCAATCTTCAAGAGCTTCTTCAGTAGCTAGGATTATAGGATGAGCCACCAGTGCTCCACTACTCCCAAGGACATTTAAACATTTCCCTTAGACAAACTCAAGGATAATTAATCTGAAAAATTAATCAGATAATTAATCAGAATGTTAAATCTAACTGACACTAAAGGCAAAGCCAGTTAGCCACACAGCAAGTAGTTAACCTCCATTTTCCTTTTTTAATTTACTTCAGGTTACCCATGTAACCTCCAGTCATATCTTTCCCTTATGCTGTTTTCAGTATGAATCGACAAGTCTGAACTCCCACTTAGTCTGTTAAACAGTGGGAATTATGACAAGACTATTTTTAATGCTTAAGAGGCATCCGTAAAACCTTCCTCACAGACCCAGTGACATGCCAGACATCTAAGATGTACACTGGACCTTGGATAGTACTTTATAGCAAAAAGAAATAAAGATGACTCATGCTGAGTAAAGAGGAAGAAGTGACAAGAGCAGGATGGATTTTCTGGGTCACTCATCCTACAGCGAATCAGGAAGTGCTGCTTCATGGAACGTGGGTGCATGTGGCTAGCTTTAGAAAGCACTGTGTATTTTCTGATACTGTAAGCTATTTATATCATTGCTACCAAGTTCTCTCAAAGCAGAGGCATGGGTTTTAAAAGTAACAAACTAATTGCCAGGAGAAGAAAAGGAAAATAAGCTAAGACTGAGTAACTTTATAATTTTCTCATTTGTTTAAATATCTCCCAAATTATTATGGGCCCTATGTACATAAAGATCAAAATGATTAGTAAGTTGTAGTCACCCCTAACCTCTGCTTAGCTACCTGTAAAGGATTCCTTTACCACCAACAGCCACCTACACCTGCCCACTGTAAATGGATTGTTCATCCTAGCTTCCCTTCCAGGTGAAGGGCCTAGGTCACCGGGCAGCTAGGATCCTTGTACTTCCTCTGTTCTCTGCTCCCTGTGTGTCCCTCCCTGTCAGCAAGAGTGAACACGAGGTGAGCTGTGCTTGAGTTTCTGCCCTTCTGCCCAATAACACAAATCCTAGGTTTTTTCCTGGGCAAAAGTTTATGTGAGAGTAAAGGAAAGAAGGGAGAACAAACAAACATAGCCATCCTATTGGGAAACAAAAAGTATACTGTAAAACCAACGGAAGGTTACATGCAAAGAAAGGAAAGAGCAGCATCTGTGGCTGTCAGAGGGGATGGATCCCCTGCTGTTTTGGGTGCCTACCTGGCTGACCAGTTCTGGTATTCCCAAAGCTCTATCAATCTCCTCAAGGCCATCAAAGTTCCTCAAGGCCAGATAAAGCTGGTCCAGGAGGGCTCCCTCATCACTCGGGGACTCAGATGCAGGATGTGGACACAGCAAGTCATCGGGAGAGCTGCCAAATGGCTGCCTGCAAAGAGACAAACTTCATCTTGAGCTGATTGATAAGCTAGTCAGCTTCCAGGGTCTCTGCAATAAACTCCCACACCAGCCCAACAGAGAACAAAATGACAATCTAAAATAAAAGATACATTTAAATATCCACACAAATCTAGGCACTTGTAGGCATGATTTTGTTCCCATTGTCTCCACTTCACATCTGACAAAATGGATGCTTAGGTTTTCCAGGTCCGAACATCTGCTGGAGATTCTGAAGATAACTCTGAGAGGCTGTGGGTCAGTGTGAGTCCTGGTACAATAATCTGCTCTCACGATTATGTAGACATCTATTTAGTATACACCAAAGGACTGTGCTGACTGATTTCTCAGGATTTTTCTACAGGAGGCTATGATGTACATGTGGAAAGAAGAGACTTTTTTTTTCTTGATCTTAGCTGCAGCTAGATTAAAGCTGACATGACTGATAAGGACATTGCCTTGTCATGCATACCCAGAACTGGCAAATATTTATCAAAGACCCTTAAGGTTGACCACCAAGACGCACATTAGAGATGAGATTGTAAGATAATTTAGGGGTAAAATCATAACACTACTGCTGCTGGCTCAGGCCCATAATCCTAGATATTCTGGAAGCTGAGATTTGGAGATTGTGGTTTGAGCCTAGCCTGGGCAGGAAAGTCTGTGAAATGCTAATCTCCAATTAACTATCAAAAAGCCAGAAGCAGAGCTCTGTTTCAGGTGACAGAGCACTAGCCTTGAGCAAAAAGGCCCAGGGATAGCACGTTACCCATGAGTTCAAGCCCCAGGATCAGCACACAAAACAAACAAACCCCTCTTCGCTGTGCAAGTAGTGTACACTTGTAATACCAGTGTTCAGGAGGTAAGGGCAGGAGGATCACATGTTTCAAGATACTCTGGGTTACAAAGACCCTATCTAAAAAAGAAAAATGCTTTTATTTTTTATAGTATTTTTTTTTTTTTTTTGCAGTACCAGGGTTTGAATTCAGTCATGCACTATTTGATAGGTATGAATTCCATCACTTGAGCCATGACCCCAGGCCCAGAAGAGCTTTTCCAGAGTGTGAGTTACTTTAATACTGAAAGAGAAAATGATACTTGTGTTTTGCTAATGGTCTGTTTTATATTCTTTTAATACTATATAATACTATGAGGAAAATAAACACTGTAAGGACAACCAAAATATTTTTTTTTAAATGCTGGTCCAGGGGCTTGAACTCAAGTGTCTGAGCACTGTCCTTGAGCTTTTTTTGTTCAAGGCTAGTGCTCTACCACTTGAGCCAGAGCTTTACTTCCTGTCCAGGCTGGCTTTGAACCACGATTCTCAGATCTCAGCCTCCTGGTAACTAGGATTACAAGTGTGAGCCACTGTACCCAGGTGCAAACTCATTCTTAAGTGAGAATAAATTAATCAAAGGATGATGCTGTCAGCTGAATCCAGTTCGGGATTTTTAAAAAATTTAAATTGATGGCTAACTGGAGATAATCTTGCTGATTTGTCTGCCTGGGGCTGCCTTGCAACCTCCATTCTCAGATCTCAGCCTCCTGAGTAACTAGGATTATAGGTTTGAGGCATAACCTTTATATCAAGAAAAATATGTTGTATCATGGCTTGGTATTAGAAATTTGAGTATAATTTAAGTTATAGTGCTGCCCTCAGAGACATTGTAGCTGAATAACTTATGAAAAAACCCAGACTTCTAGTGTAAACTTAATAAAAACAATAGAGTGAATATATTATTTTCTTCCTTTTGAGTAATTAGAAATATAGTTACAAGCTAGGTGGCATCTAACAGATAAATGTACCATTAGTGAGGACAAACTTCAGAGGGAAAATGAGGAACATACACATATACCCCAGGAGGCACTTAGCACTAAGGAATGAGAAACTACTCATTAGCCGCAACAATGTGTACCATATCCACATCTCTCTCTCTCTCTCTCCCAGATACCTCCACTTTGTGTGCATCTGTGGAGCTAGGACTGGATCCCAGGCCTCTCACGTGCCACGCACCATGCCCAGCTGCTGTGCTCCACCTCAGCAGAAACTTACATGTTCCTTTTCTTTGTGCCAGTACTGGGGTTTGGACCTAGGGCCTGAATACTATTGCTTATCTTTTCACTCAGGTCTAGAGCTAGAAGTGCTAGCATCACATGGAGTGTTCTATGTGTACTGGTGCATGCCTGTGGTCCCAGCTACTTGGGAGATATAGGTGGAATGGCTGGCCTGAGCAAAGTGAATAAAGGTAACTAAAGTCAAAATAGCTAGGGGCATGGCTGAAGTGGTAGAATGCCTGTATAGCAAGCACAAAGCTTTGAGTTCAAACCCAGAAAAACAAAAACAAAAAACTCCATGAACCTATAGAGAAATAAAATTCAACATATATCAAATACAAAGCAGGATGAATATATAACTCCATGCCTAAACATGCAGTGAAGTAACAATGCAGCAAAGTCAAAAAATATTTCAAAAGCAATTAAAAACTGGACACAGTAATGGATATCCAGAAAATCATGGTTTGAGGCTACACAGCAAAAAAAGTTAGCAAGACTCTTCTCTCTATTAATAGACAAACGGGCCGTGATGGCACACACTTTGTCAAACCAGCTATGTCTTAGGTGTAAGTGAGGTAGAAGGATCGTGGTCTGAAGATAGCCCTGGGCAAAAAGCAAGAGGCTCTATTTGAAAAATAAATCAAAAAATTACTGAGGGCATGGCTCCAGTAATGAGTTCTGAGCATGGATAGTGACCCTGAGTTTAAACCCAAGTGCCTTCAAGAAAAAAAAAAAATAGTGAAAAGCAATTAGAAAAGAAACAAGTATGCTTACAAAACCAGAACAAAAACTCAACCAAATTTGATCATATACTATCTTTCCTTTTCAAAATATTTTTCAAAAGGTTGATGAAAAAAAAATCTGTTTTTCAGAGGATGGTATTTAAGATCCTCCATAAATCTATTACTAATCTACTGATAAACCTTATTTTACTGTCCTTTATTGTTTCATTGTGTTAAAATACAGATAATATAAAACAATGATTTCCTATTACTCTAGACATACTGTGTTGCTACTATAACCTGTTGGGCCCTGCACTGCTGCTTTGCCAACTTCACTGGCCCTTTAACTTTCTCTCAGATGATCTGTTCTGAATACATGAACATTTGTCAAGTACCTATTCAGAAGGAATTCACTTCAAGTTTAACTATGATAAGACATACAGAACTCACAAGTGCTTTTCTGTCCTGGTTCTCCTGGTGTGCAGGACTTACCTGTTCTGGTTGGCGAAAGATGCTTGGTCTATAGGCAGGATGCTCTCAGGCCACGGGGCAGTCTGATTGGGAGGAGCTTGTTGGCTATACTGAGCTCCACCCATGTTCATCTCTAACTCAGATGGACCTAAAAGAGAAGGGGTACGGGGAACACTTGAAACCTTACATCTTGTAATCAAGGTAGTCTCTATTTCTGCCATGGTATAACAGAAAGGGAAATATCTGATATATAGAAAATGGAAAATATAGAAAGAATAATTATCTAGGTGAAAGTTAAGAACATAAAATTCTGCTCTGAGTAGAAATGAAGGTTAATAGCATCTACTTTAGGGGATGTCTAGATTAATAGCAACAACAGACTCCTCTATACTTTTAAAGATTTTGTCCATGTGTGTTGTATCTTACTGTATCTCTAAGTAATTTACTGAACTGGAAATTGAAGCTGGAAAGTAGAAAAAAAAAGTACTAATTTATTTTAAAAAGTCATAAGAATATATATATATATATATATATATATATATATATATTTTTTTTTTTTTTTTTTTTTTTTTGGGGTCCGTTCGTGGGGCCTGAATTCTGGGCCTGGGTGCTGTCCCTCAGCTCTTCAGCTCAAGCCTAGCATGCTATCACTTGAGCCATAGCAACACTTCCGGCTTTTTTTTTCCTGCTTATGTGGTGCTGAGGAATCGAATCCAGAGCCTCATGCATGCAAGGCAAGCGCTCTACCACTGAGCTACCTTTCCAGCCCCTGACTATATGTTAATATACTCAAGATTTTTAAAATGAAAAATATAAAAAGAAATCCCAATCCTTTTACTGGCATTGCTTTGCATTTTTATAAAGTGCTTGGATATGTGGACTAATAGAAGAGAGGAGGCCCTCCTCCCTGCTTCCATACTACTGGCTGTGCTAATAGCTGCCAGCAGGAACTTCTGGTATATTCTAGTGGCCACCTGAAGGAGCAGAAAAGCAAATAAGACACACTGTATCTGATGAAGACATTTGGGCCTTGCAGATACGCTGAAAGGCACTGGGTATTGTGCTGTTCTAGACTATCTGTGCCTATATGCTTTTGCTAATTGCACTTCAGTTAGTTCTCCTAGAAGAGTAAGGGCAGAGGAGATGGGGGAAGACAACTCAGACATGCTTCTCAGAAGTTCTCTTATAGGCTTTATAACTAAGGGATTTTTTTCTTTTAAAATATGGGGCAGGACCTCATTATGTAGCCCAGGCTACATAGAACTTATGATAGTTCTATGTCCTGCCTTTAGTCTCCCAAGTGCAAGGAGTACGTGTGACCACTTCTGGCTAATAAAAGCTTTTAAATTATATTATGATTACCTGTAGAGCTCCCTCCGACACAGAAATTTTCTGTTACGTTCATGTCTTTTTTTTTTTTTTTGGTTGGTCATGGGGCTTGAACTCTGGGCCTGGGCGCTGTCCCTCAGCTCTTCAGTTCAAGGCTAGTGGTCTACCACTTGAGCCACAGCGCCGCTTCCAGTTTTCTGAGTGGTTTAATGGCGATAAGAGTCTCATGGCCTTTACTGCCCAGCTGGCTTTGAACCGCAATCCTCAGATATCAGCCTCCTGTGTAGCTAGGATTACAGGTGTGAGCCACTGCTGCCCAGCAATTTCATGTCTTTTTTGAGCTTATTAAGAATCAGAGAGGGGCTGGGAAGGTGGCTCAGTGGCAGAGCGCTTGCCTTGCATGCCTGAGGCCCTGGGTTTGATTCCTCAGCACCACGTAAGCAAAAAGAAAAAAGCCGGAAGTGGCGCTGTGGCTCAAGTGGTAGAGCTCTAGCCTTGAGCTGAAGAGCTGAGGGACAGCGCCCAGACCCAGAGTTCAGGCCCCACGACCGGACCCAAAAACAAAAAACAAAAAACAAACAACTGGGGCTTGGATGTAGCTCAGTGGCAAAGTGCTTGCCTAGCAAGTGTAACGTCCTGGGTTCGATCCCCAGTACCAAAAAAAGAAAAGACAAAAAACAAACAAACAACTTTTTTTTTCCATCTAACCCTTAGCTCTAGGTAACCACACTCTACTTTCTATATTTGTCTAAGCTGGATATTTCATATAGATGGTGCTATGAAATATATCAGGCCATTATTTTTAATATCATGTAAACTATCTCTAGGTTGAAGTCTAGTGATCCCAACATTATGTGCAATGTTTATGGGCCCCTGCCCCCTCAGTGAGGATCTGGGAGAGTGTGATTTAATAGCCCTGGTGGCATCTGAGTTCCTGAGAGGTTTCTGATGATCATGAAGTTAGAAACTGGCTGTACTACTCAATGAAAATCATATATATAGCATACATAAAGGTATTTAGTTTTCTTATATACCCAGAAAATGATTCTACATATAATGCTAGTAAAATCCCACATATGGCTGCTTCACAGGAAAGACTACCTGAACTGTAATCCAGGAGCACGTCTGAAAAATCTTGAGATCCAAAGCCTCTCTGTAGGAAAGAATAAATCTGAAGGCAGTGAGCACTGCACTACCTTACCTATATTCATGACCTGAGACTGAAGCATCTGTCTTTGGCCAGGCTGGTTGTTGGGTCGCATGGGGATGCTGGCTGTTGGGTTCCGAATCATACCTCCTTGGATTGGCCGGTTCATAGCACTGGTGGTAGCAGCACAAGTGACTCTCACAGGTGAACTCTGAGGTGCCCATTCCCCAGATGGCATGGTGGGCCGGGAAGCGTTGCTACCAATCATTCCTGCATGCAAGCCAAAGGAAGCTGAGAAATGCATACACATATGCTGAAAACATAGAATAGACAGCAGAATCTTACTCTTTACAAGACAATCATTTTATAACCCACAGCCCAATAGCTAACACCCTCACTGCTGCAGATGTGAAGTGACAATTACTACAAAGTTTTCACAACATAGGCCTGCCACTCTTCATAGTTCGGAAAAGCAGTTAAAATTGTTCCCATATGTACTTAAGAGACAGGTGCTGTGGCGGGTGGATAACCCCAACTTCCTTCCTCAGGAAGTGAATCATATTAGCTGCTATACACGTCAATGCTTTGCTTTCCAAAAGGGAGGTGAGGCTAAGATAATCAATACCCTGCTTATAGACCCAAATCACAGAGAACATTTCAAAAGGCCTATACAAGGCTTCAAAATCTTACCACCCTTTTCAGAGTTTTAGAATTTGGTAAGCTTCAAAATTTGCCTGGCATAGCCTCTAAGTAATGAAGAAATTAAAGGACCTTTCTGCTTTACTATAGTTCTTCCTAAGTCAAGACAAAGGAATCCTTACTATTCAGTATCCTGGAGCACTATATTCCTAATAGTACAGATCTAGTTGGACCAGAACAGACTTATGGAAATCCTTTTACACTTAAGATTTTAACAGGTATATGACCACACATAGATAGCAATGCAAGCAAAACACTGCCAGGCAGGATCTTGGCCTGGTACCTAGGATGCTGCCAATGACCAGGATTAGCCAGGACTTGAACTTCTGAAGGGAAAAGCCCACCAATGGTGAAGCTTTCTTTTGAAATGTTTAATTCTGGGTGTTGAAAATCTTTGCTTTCAAATTCATGGCCTGCTGTCATGTACTTTAATGTGACCAACAATTAAAAATTGAGTATGTTTAACAAGTGGCAAGGATATGGATTGAGGAAGTTTCTTCACTTGTGAAATGAGAAATATGCTGAGAATGATAAAGAGTAATTAGACTTAAAATGTGGAACAGTATTAATATTTAAAAACAATTTCAAGGTTTGAACTATACAAAGGTATGTTTCATTTTCCAAAAAAATCTAACTAAATACTATACCAAGACTAGAATGCATAAGGGAAGATTATTCATAATTCAGTAATAGTAGTTTAATACTAACTTGGGTAGTTCCATTTTAGTCTGTTTTGGGAAACAGAATGAGGATAGTAAATACCTGCTATAGCCTGGCCACCACTAATTTCTGGACTGGCCAGATATAGGCATATTACCAAATTTCTTTGTTAGATTTATACAACTCAAAGTTGTCTGTGTTCTGCTAATAAAAAAAAAAAACACTTGCTAAAATATGGTCTACTTTTATAAAATTTTTAACAAATCCACATTCTAGTTTTAATCAGACTTCATTTATCTTAAAATCAGCAAAGTGCACTGTATTTATAAACTGCTATGTTGAACTGAAACCCCTTTGTACAGCTACTTAAATAAAAAAATTAAAAGAAAACAGCAAGGTGAATATGATGGTTTCCATAAGTACATAAATTAATGATACAGTCAGTGCCTGGAATATAGTTGAGGCAACCAATAAGTATATGTTGATGAACTCTTTTGATCTAGCACAGTTCATGTTTCCCATGAATTGTGTGAACTAATAATTGAAAATAAAAAGCCCATCATCTTCCCTTAAATGGGTCTTTTATGTTCAGCTAACGAAATGGCAATGTATAGGAATTACAGACTAATCTAAAAAATAAAATCCTAGAATGAAAATACAACTGTTAAGTTCTTTTTATAATATCCATTTCTATGCCTTTGTGTTGAGTATCTCATTGAGGCAAAGGAAGAAAGACACAGATTGTGGGCAAGTCTTAATAAGAAAATTCAGTAATCCCCCGTATCCATAGCAGATGTTGGAGTACAAGAGGGTGTGGCCACAGCCACTGCTGTGCCATAATCTCTGGCTTGGGTTAGAAGGCACTCTGGGACTATGACATCTGCTGCACAGTGACTATTACTTAGGATTATTACTTAGCAGACTCCTGAAAATTATAGCAGGTTAAGATCTGAATCAGACAACAGGAAGCTTCTGTATCTTCAGAACTGAGGCTCTAGATCTGAAAGTTATTATTGGGCTAGGGAAATGATTATTTAAAGGTTCTATATTTCCTCCAGACTGAGTCTTGCTCTAATGCCCAGGCTTGTCTTAATCTTATGAGTCAAGTGATCTTTCTGTCTCAGCCTCTTCAGAGACTGGGACTGCAGACATGTACTACCTAGCCTGGCTAAAATTCTTTATCTTTAATAAAGTTTTTGGGATATCAACAGATTATCAATGGAAACTAGTAATCACCAATTTATTTTACAGATACCTAACCAGAGTATTAGAAGTAAAATAAGGCTAGGCTGGAGGATTACTTTTCAGAAGCCATAGTAGAGTAACAATCACAGAATGGAATGGGTTAATTTATTAGGATGGTTTTCACTCTCACAGAGACTCTGTAGAATTTTTTTTTACTTTTACACGTTAGTTTCTAAACAGTTTGATGGCAAAATTCTACTAGTTCAATGTGGATCAAAACATTCAGTCAACAACCCATCAATAAAATAGCAGTGCATTTGCCCCTTACCTGTGCTACTGTTCCCTAAGTTTCCTTGGTTTCCTATCATCCCTTGGTTACCCATCATTCCTGGCTGAGGTATCACTGAGTAAGGACTATTGTTTCTGATTGGTGGGAAAGGTCCAGCACCAGTTGGGCTTTGCAATGTGATGTCAAGTGGTAAATTCTGGTTTGGCAATAACCTGCCCAGTTGCCCTGGTCGTGGGTTATTAAAAGCTAAGGAGAAAACAAATGAAAATTGAAGGTTAATATAGAATGGTGGAAAAGAGTATTCACAGTAGTAGTTTTAGGGAAAATGTTACCTGTAAAATAACGAAGATATGCAAACCAGGGACCAACTACCTACACAGAAGACAAATTTCACAAATATATGCAGTGACAAAGTGTAGATATGTGATCTAATCAGTTCTCTTATTTGTGACAATCTTGCAAATATAAAAATAAAAAGCACATGTGTATTATTTATACATTTTTCTCCCAATTTTAAGTTTTAATATTGAACTGCAGAAGAAAATCATTAATATGTTTTTTCCCCCATGGTATGTTGTACATTATTAAAACCTAGGACTAGTGACTTTTGAGGGGTAAGGTGTGAAGATAGCATCTCACTATGTCAATCAGGCTGGCCTCAAATTTAACAATCCTCCCTAGTCTACTGGGTTAGAATATAATTTCTTTCCTTTCTTTTCTTAGTGCTAGTTTTGGGACTTGAAATCCAGGCCTGGGTGCTGTCCCCGGGCTTTTTTGTTCAAGGCTAGTGCTCTAGCATTTGAGTCACAGCTCTACTTTCAGCTCTTTTTAGTGGTTACTGGAAATAAGTGTCCCATGACACTTGGGCTGGCTTTGAACTCAACCTCCTGAGTAGCCAGAATAACAGGTGTAAGCCACTAGAGTCCAGCCTAAAGTGCAATTTCCTAATCTGACTTTCCTTGGATTAGAATTAAAAGAGGATATTCTCATTGGAAGATAAAAATCTTTACATATAAACTGTGTTATCTGAAGCAATATTAATCTGAAGGTTATTATTTTAAGTTAGCTTCTTTAAATTCTGAACATATTTAGATAGGAAATAACTTTTATAGCTAGTTCACAAAATTTTTTATGTTCTAAGCATTACACTAATTTCACACAGATAATCTATAAGGTAGTGGATGTTAAATTTTCATTTTCAGAGTCAATTCAATAAAAAGTATCAAGTATTTTATCTTTTCTAGATTATATATAAACAGTCAAAAATCGTAAGAAAAAGTAATTTCTTACTAACCCACAGGAGAGAGAAAATATTTGGAAGAATTAAGTCTGCAAATGGAATCAACACCTGAATCCCATTAGGAGATACAGGTAGAAGGGGAGTTATGTGTCTCCTTCCAGCTCCTCTCACTGTCTCTTCACAGCAGAAACTATCCAATGTGTTTCTTTTTCACTTCTCAATTCTTTGACTTGGTAATCTCACTGGTCCATCATTAATTCTCCACTCCCCAAGAAAAAGTTTGAGAGACAACAAAATAAAAACTCCTCCCCCCACCCTGCCCCGCCCTTTCAGAATGGTCAGGAATCATTTGAGACAATATATAGTAGTTCTTGGCTGGTGGTTTGAGAACAAATGTTAGGCACCAGCCAAACCAATTGTGTTTATGTGTGTGCGTGCATGCATGCGTGCCAGTACAGGGCTTAAACTCAAGGACTTGCACTCTCACTTGGCTCTTCTGCTCAAAGCTGGCAGTCTTACCACTTGAGCCATACATCCATGTCTGGCTATTTGCTGGTTAAATAGAGATTAGAATCTCATGAACTTTTCTGCCCAGACTGGCTTTGAACTGTGATCCTCAGTGTGTCTTCCGCACAGCTAGGATTATAGGTGGTCAAACCATTTGAAGAAAAAAGCCACTCTGTTCACCAACACTAGAGGTTATCTATCAATTATGGTCCTGCTACAGAAAAAAAAAATTCCTCATTCAAAAATATCAGAGATTATCAAGGTTTTACCTAAGTAAATAGTTTTTAATGATTACCTTTAAAAGTTTTAAAAAAAATGATGAAATGCATTTTATAAATAAAATGAATTAAACGTAAGATATATGACAAATTTCTATATAAAATGTATTTTGAGAAGCATTTCCCCCTTCCCTTCCCATCCTCTTTTGATTTTAGTTTTTGAGACAGTGTCTCTTGGCCTTGTAACACAGCTGGTCTCTAATTTATAATCCTTTTGCCTCTGTCTTAATAGAATTAAGGTTGCCATTGGAGCACAGTAGCTGAAATGAAGGGAGCTGTGACAATCAGCTGAGGAACTTTATCAGTAGGTCAGGCTTGCTACATGCGCAACATGGATCACACTACCCTCAAGAAAAAGTCAGGGAGCCTTGTTTACCAGACTATGTTCTGAACACTGTTCCTGGAAAAACTTGACAGCAGATGGTGCTATTTGATCACAAAACCCTTGATATGCGTATATCAGACTTTAAATTGAATAGTGGTTACATAGGAATTTCTTGGTAAACCCAGCAACATCTCATACTCACTGCTCTGTGAAATTCGCAATGCTGTTTTCTGGGCTCCAACAGGTGTAACAGGGCTGTTTTCAGCTGTGAGTTGCATGAGGTCATTGATGATGGCTTGCTTGTCAACTGATCCAGCAGGGGCGCCCGGCCTCGTGTCTGGGAAAAGCTGTGGTAATTGACTATTCTGTAAATCATCCAAAATCTCCTCCAAGTTGTCCAGTTCACTGCCAGGCTGCAGTCAACAAACAGAAGAGTTCATCTTGGCACACTCCAAGAGTAGGCTCCCCAGGCTCAATAGCAATTACACACCTACCTGAGGCACCACAGTCAAACAAAAAAATGCACACACATTTCAGGCTTAACAGCTGACTGATCATTTAAAAAAAAGTTAAACTGACAAAGGTAAACTATTTAATCTTAGTCCTGAATCCACTCATCAAGAAGAGATAGCTAAAGTAAAAAGAAAGCTCTTCTTAAACCATGACTCATTAGCAATTTATAAACTCCCTTTTTGGCCAATCATTTAAATAATTATGAATAAGTACTTTCCAATTAATTTGAGCAGACTATGACTTATAGTTCAAGTCTAAGTTTTGGTAAGCTTCCCTAAGAAATAGTGGTAACACAAAAAGTGGCATAAAATTTCATCCAAATAGCAAATGTTCATTGCCTGGTAGGGTACTACCGCATAAAAGCAGGATAGCTGGAGTGAGGGTGGGTGCAAAATGAACTTCCAGGAACTAGGAACTAGTTAAGCATTGCCTTTTCAATTTGAATAGTGTTTTTTTTTCTGCCTACACTTTCAATGTCAAAAGACAGTGGCTTTCTCAGTCATTCATCAATTTAGGTAATAAAGAGGAAAGCAGGATAAAAGCTGTTGTTCATTTTAAGAAGCTACAGTGTTTCTTAGGGTTCTCTTTCTCCCTTTATATTCAATGTAAATTAATAATTTTAAGATGATAAGGTGTCTATTATTTTATAGCTAGGACTTTTCTTCTTCCATGAGGCTAAACTGGTTTCACAGATATTCTCTTAAGTGAAATCTAATTTGTGTCAGTATTTAAAATTAGCTATTTCAATCACAGAAGAAAGTGGCCGAGCTAAATGCTGGGATTACTTTTCAGTGAAGAAAATATGTTAAGCAGTTTCCTCAAGGTCACTGAATGGGCTTTGAAGCCTTGACCATGAATCAAGAAAAATGTGGTTCTTTTCTCTACATTGGCAAATCAGATGAAATTGAGGCCATACATAAAATGAGTTCAACTTACAGAATGGCTTATTCTTTTCATCCTTTGCATAAACTCCATCTTCCACATGCAGGAGGGATTTGCTGAGATTTTTTGCAATGTGTAGCAAAAGTAGTATAAGTAGTATTCTATGTAGGATGGACCCCCCTCCCCCCCAACCTTAAGACAGGATACCACCATATAGCCCTAGTTAGATTTGAACTCTTTATCTTTCTGCCTCTGTGAAGTGCGAGGATTACAAATATAAAATACAACATCTGATTTATGATATCTTCTGATTAGAAACAGTTCAAGTTAGAAAGTTCTGACTGAAACAACAGTTTATTTCTTTTCAGAGATAGCTTGGTGGAAAACTTGGCTGAAAACCATTTTCCAAGGAATTCTTAATGTACTGTTAGAGAAATTTATAAGGCCATTTTCTTGTCATCCATCACCATCAGAAGAATAAGATATCTCTATGGAATAGTTATATCTAGAGAAGGATTAAACTCCAAAGTTAACAACCTAAAGTACAGATAAAACAATCCTTAAAGCACCTTTGGAAGGCCTTGCACTTGAGACTCTTCCAGGTATTATGGCTTTTTTGAGCACAGTTCTAGTAGCTCAGGTATACTACACTTAAAAACATATATTTATGTGTTCACATTTTTAGAGACATGGAAAACTAAAGACAGTCAAATTTATATCACTCATGTCACTGTCACATTGCTAGGGCATATGTAACTTATTGAGCTGATTAGTGAGCAAAAGTGACAATACTTTAACAACCATTTATGACCACCTTTTTTCCCAAATGAATAAACTGACCTTGTATACTTAAATGCACATGGATAGGGAATTTATTATAAAGTTATCTTCACTAAGTTTTAAGGAATACATATCTAAGTCAACACTCTATAAAAACATTTGTACTCCAAGGCTAGTCTTTGCAATACAGTTATGGGCACTCAATCAACAAGATTAATTTCCTTAATTATATTAACACATAGTTTAAAAGTTTTTATTTTCCTGCTACAATCCACTATATAAAAGTTTCTTACAGAAATAGCTGCAATTTTCATTGATTTTTTTCAGAAAAATGTTCCACAAATTAATGTGTAAAATGCTTACAGTTTTGTCATATAAAATGAAGAGACCAGAAATAGGTTCTGATAAGCTGTGAAGTATTTCTCTGCTCTTTGAAGCCAATGTTCTCTACAATGTTGCTTCGTGTGGAGAATTTTTAAAAATGGCTTTTAAAGTTTAGTGAGTGCAGAAGGAGGAAAGCAGACAATAAGTAATAAACTGCCTCTTGAAAAAAAGTTTTGCAGATTGCCTTTAGTAAGAAATACCTAAAGTAAGCCCAATAAACAAGAATACAAGTAAACTATATCATTTTTTAGTGAATGCATTTATATTTGCTCCCTACCCTGAAATACCTAAAAATAGTTTTATATTGTAAACTACATACAGTATGGGTTTAGACTATCATCTTTTCTTTTTATTGTTTTCCCATTCCCATCAAGTAAATAATACTGTAAACCATCTCAGCATAACAATGATATCACAGTGTCAAAGAATTCTGATGATGAGATTCACAGAAATTCCTTTGTAATTTACTTCTGTGTCTAAAACAATGTACATATGTGATATGTTAATCATAAGTGGTGTTTGACACAAGTGTCGTTTGAAATATGTACAGATAAACATAAGCATAATGTTTAGCTCATACATGTGTTAAAGTATGAATGATTTAAATAAGTTTATTTTAAATAAAGTACTTAAAAGTCTACTATTTTCTTCAATCAATTGTAGAATTTCATCTATTTGCTCTTATGGTATGGAGATTAAGCCTAAGTCTCTATGCATGTAAAACCAAACTATAATCCCAGCCCTAACTTTTACTTTTTACTAATGTTTTATGTTTACAGGCCTGTCACACCAAACCCATCTGTAATTTTAAATGTTCTTTAGAGATAGAAGTTCAGAATATCTATATTTTTTAGATTGGTTAACAATAAAATTTAATGACTATAGCACTATCTTCTGTATTCCTGTAAGTTCTGGAAGAGATGAATTTGATTACTTGTAGTTTCTGATAAAATTTCTCCTATACTTTCGTTAAGTTTTAATTCTCATCACAAGTTCTTTTAGTCCCTACCCACTTTGTTAGGCACAATTTCTTTGCAAGACAGAAAGATTAATGCCTTCCTTTAAAATGCTTTGCCAAGATACTTCAAAGTTTTGCTTAGGCATCTATTTGAATGCTCAAATTAGCCACATCAATTTGAGTACTTAGCTTAAACTATTTCAGGCAGAAAATGAGTCAGATTTTTATAAAAGTTCTACAAAATGAAAAATAGACTTGATTTCATTTTCATTTTTCTACTTTCATGATTTTTTATGTGTAAGTCAACTTGTTCTCCTGGGGAAAGGGGATAAATAAAACATGTATCTTTAATAATGTAAGTATTATAACAAGTTACAAAGTATCTTTTCAAAATATATTAAGTAAAAGGTATAATTTCAGTACATCTAACTTTCTAAACTAAGAAAGAAAAACACAAGTCTACCACATTTGGAGGGAAATTTTCAGGAAATTAAAATGTGGTCTGCCTTTCTAAAGGAGTCAAAATGCCAAGAGACAATTTCCAATGCCTCACTCTTAGTGTTTCAGTAGCATCTGAAAGAATCTGAGTTTCGTTTGGTGAGGAGTCAACCATGCACCATTATATAAATAAATAAGCATAGGACTTAAGTCAGTAAACATACTGGAAATTTTTCTGTCACTGTTTCCTGTTGGTTAGGAAATGTCATAGAAACATCTTGTTTAACTACTCTGCTCAGTTTTTTAAAAATGCTATTTTTGATATAATAGTACAGGCACCATCAAGGACTTCCTATCTTTAGTAAGTTAGTGATATGTTGAACAATGAATGACTTTTTTTTTCTAAGTTAAAATAATAGGACAGTAATTGCAACTCAGGCTGTTTTACTACATAACTTATTGTATACCTTTGGAATGAAAGAAGATTCTTCAATATCTCATGCAGCAGGGATAACACATGCAATTCCTTTATATTGTAGAGTGGGGAAGGAGAGCAAGGTGTTAAGATGATTGTTTGCTTTTCTCTTTCTAACTATGATCTAAATATAGGTAATGCATACTTCCTGCAGTAACTTCGCATTACAATGTTTTTTGATGTTACACTTGCTCTGCATTTTTTATGTAGTTTTAAGAGGGTGTGAAAGGAAGAAGAGACTAGAATCCAATTTCATTACAAAAATACACTTATAGTATGTGCATGTGTATACTTGTGCCTGTGCTTTTTAAGCTAGTGTATTAATTATATAAAAGTTTCACTGTGACATTTCCATACAACATATAACTTACTTTCATCAAATTCACCTTCTCCATGCTCTTTCTTGTGCTCCTTCCTGCTTTTTAACCAACTTTAACAGGTTTTACAATTCTATTTTCATACATGTATATAAAGTATATTAAGTATAACTATCCTCTCCATTACCCTCTCCTCATGCCCTCCCTTCTTTCACTTCATTCCCCTCTTGAAGTATTCTCCATTTGATACACATTGAACCCTGCTTATTGATCCACCCAAAATAACAGACCTATGCTGATTACACCTTCAGATTTAGGTTTCCTAGATGAGACAATTTTAATTAGAAACTGTTTCTCCTAAATAACAATTAGAAACTGCCAGTAACATCACAAAACTTCTTTTCTTGACTGTAGTTAGTACAATCATATATAGAAATGTCACCTTTCCCTGAGCCTTTAAGTAGCTAGGGTCTCAGGCCAAAGCAGAAACAAATTCTGTTTATGGAGGGAGGGATGGGCCCATGTTACATACCAAGCTAAAGTGGACCTCCTGAGTCACAATCTTATTTTCTAGCATGTGTCAAGACACTTGAATGACACTCTCTGTGTCTGTCACTTTGACCTGCCATTGTATAGTCTAATTTAGTAAATCTCAAAAGGTGAAAATATTGACAGATGTCAAGACATTGCTAGTAACTTTCTGCTGAAGCCCTGGTATCCCCAACTCAAGATTTTACATTACCAAATAGCTGTTACAAGAACCTTGCATTAATTTAGTTTAAGGAAGGAAATTACCAATGTTCTTCACAAATTTGACCATTTCCCTTTTGAATGGTATGTGGGTTTTCAACAATTTTATCTGTCCTCAAGGATGGTATCAGTTGTAAAAACATCAAATAAAAGAAATAAAAGAAATTTTGTGTGGGAAGGGTCTAGAACTGGCCAGAAGGGCAGGCTTTTGGTCTCATTGGTTCTTGGTCCCCAGCAGACATCTAGCCAGCCTCTGACCAAGATTATGGAGCACTGTTCCATCTTTTCTTTCCCTGAAGATGGTGACAGATAATATACCCAGTTGCAAAACAAATTTCAGGACAAACTTATGAGCCATTGTTTAAGTAGGAAAGCCTTTGCAGCTTCTTTACTTCTTAATCCATCATGAGTAAAGAAAAGGTTCATCATGCAGGACATGTTTCGGGATTAAAGAAGAGTTGACAGTCCAGGGTGAAGTTTGGGATCACTAATTCTCACTTGGTCTACAACTCCCCAGGAAAGGCTTGATGCCAAACCATTATGGCTACTGGAACTCACCTATTTTTTTTTTTTTTGGTCGGTCATGGGGCCCGAACTCTGGGTCTGGTAGCTATCCCTCAGCTCTTCAGCTCAAGGCTAGCACTCTACCACTTGAGCCACAGCACCACTTCTGGCTTTTTCTGCTTATGTGGTGCTAAGGAATCGAAGCCAGGTCCTCATGCATGCAAGGCAAGCACTCTACCACTGAGCCACCTTCCCAGCCCTTCACCTATTTTTTTAAGTAAGAAAAACTGACATTTCCCCCTGTGATGCTATTATTATATTAGAATGCTATCAAGAATAATTTTGAGATGGGTACTTGTGACTCACATTTGTAATCCTACTCAGAAGGCTGAAATCTTTCAAAGGCAATCTAGGGAGGAAAGTCCATAAGACTATTATTTCTGATTAACCATCAAACATCTGGAAGTAGAGCTGTGGCTTAAGTGATAGTGCACCAACTTTGAGCAAAAAGTTAAGGGACAGTGCCCCCCCAGGCCTTGAATTCAAGTCCCAGTACTGGCATTTTCCCCAAACCCCCAACAAACCAACATTCCTCTCTCAAAAAAGAATGATTTCAAAGGAAAGGGTTTGAGGTGTTTGAAAAGATATAACATATCAGTTAAAAGTTTCAAATATCTAGCCGGGCGCTGGTGGCTCACGCCTGTAATCCTAGCTACTCAGGAGGCTGAGATCTGAGGATCGCGGTTCAAAGCCAGCCCGGGCAGGAGAGACCGTGAGACTCCTATCTCCAATAAACCACCAGAAAACCGGAAGTGGCGCTGTAGCTCAAGTGGTAGAGCGCTCGCCTTGAGCTGAAGAGCTGAGGGACAGCGCCCAGGCCCAGAGTTCAAGCCCCACGACCGACAAAAAAAAAAAAAAAAGTTTCAAATATCTATTGTAAAACATGGAAGCAATAGCTAATAACAAATGTATTTACACTTGAAAATCACTTAGAGCAGAATGTAAGCATTTGCACTACAAAAATTGGTAGGCAATACATATGTTTATAAGCTTGATTTAGCCATTCCATGATGTATGCATATTTTAAAACACTGTATTATATATTGTAAATATAGGTGAATTATTTTTTCAATTATAAAAAAAGAGAATGATTTTGAACTTCACCTGGGATTACTTGGATACCCTGGATTTTTTCAGAGTATTAATTATTCAGACAAGTCTAAGGGACAGTATAGGCTATTTATTTTAGTTTTGAACTTGTGTATTACTACCACTGAGTCACCTTTTACCTCTCTTTGCTCTCTACCCATTTCTTTTTATGTATTATAACAATGATTGAGGAAATTCTCGTGTTGACTGAATAAGGTACAATGATCTTTATTAGTTGAAAACTAGTTAAACTCTGATCAGTAAATTATTGCTAACCTGTTGTTCATCCTGCCCACCTATTTTTTTTTTATGACTAATTAGCTAAGAACACTTTTTTCTTTCTGAGTCTGGTCGTGGGGCCTGAACTCTGGGCCCTGGGTGCTGTCCCTCAGCTCTTCAGCTCAAGGCTAGCGCTCTACCACTTGAGCCACAGCGCCACTTCCGGCTTTTTTCTTTTTTCTTATGTGGTGCTGAGGAATTGAACCCAGGGCCTCAGGCATGCAAGGCAAGCGCTCTACCACTGAGCCACCTTCCCAGCCCTTTTTTTTTGTCAGTCATGGGGCCTGAACTCTGGGCCTGGACGCTGTCCCTCAGCATTTCAGCACAAGGCTAGCGCTCTACCACCTAAGTAACAGCACTACTTCCAGCTTTTTTTCTGCTTATGTGGTACTGAGAACTCAAACCCAGGGCCTCATGCATGCAAGACAAGCACTCTACCATTGAGCCACCTTCCCAGCAAGAACATATCTCTTTTGTAGTTATGGAGTATTTTGTGCCCATGAAAACTGTGTACTCCATAAGCAAAAAATTTTTTTTGGGTCTGGTCATGGGGCCTGAACTCTGGGCCTAGGCACTGTCCCTCAGCTTTTCAGCTCAAGGCTAGTGCTCTACCACTTGAGCCACAGTGCCACTTCCGGCTTTTTTCTTTTTGCTTATGTGGTGCTGAGGAATCGAACCCAGGGCCTCATGCATGCAAGGCAAGCACTCTACCACTGAGCCACCTTCCCAGCCCATCCATAAGCAAAATTTTATTAAAGCATAGCCATGCTTTTTTGCTCAGTGTCTATGCCTGTTTTATACTACAATGGCTGAACTAAATGGTTAATAACAGAGTCTATACCTGACTAGAAAGGTGTCATTTTTTTTTTTAACTAGGAGGAGGGTTTGAAATCTTCCTTAATTTCACAGTTTCAATGCAAATTAACTGTTTCAAGGTAAGAACTAAAAGGAAAAGGCTCATTTTTACTGGATCACCCAAGGCCTCACATTGTATCTGTGGAGAAAAGCCTTGATGGATAAACATTAGTAACCTGAGGAGAAGACATTACAAAACTTACCTGGTCACTGGGCTCAAAGCTCATCTCTTCCTTCTCAGTTTTCATAGCTATTAGTTTTGTATTACTGGCAGGGTCTGTCTTACTGTCCAGTCGCTCAAGTTTTGGGGTTATTTCTGGTAAACCAATATCTTTAGTATCATCTTTATCTAGCAAGTAGCGAAGTAGTGCATTCTCTTTCTTCTTGGGGCTCACTGGCTCTTGTTTAATAGTCACTTCCGAACCAGGAGCTGTGCTGCTGGTCTCCTGGCTCAGCTCTTTGCCTGTGGCTTCTGCTGTTAGCTTGGCCAAGTCCACAGGGGAACTGCTGTCCTGCAAGAGTCTGTGCAAAATTTTATGCTTCTCCTTGAGCGAGGTCCCATGTGTAGAGCCAGGCCCAGATAAGCTACCTGTGGAGTCCTTGTTTGTGTCCGACAAAGAGCTGGGCAGGGGTGAAGGCTCCATCTGGTCAGACTTGGTAGTCAGCAATTGCAGGAGTTTGGTCTGCCCTTTGCTGTCATGTAGCCGGCTCTGTCCCTCAGCTCTGTCCGCACTGACAGCCTGGGGCATGCTGGAATCACTTGTTTCCTTTTGCTCTCCAGGGTGGCAGCTGTTCTCCGCTTGTCCAGTTGTACCTTCTGATGGCTCCCCATAAAGTCCAAAACAGTCTTTGGAGTCCAAGCTTCCCATCTTGCTGAGTGGGGGAGGATTCATATTAACTGGGGAGTTTTGCAAATTGCCCATTTTTAGGTCCGGTGAAGCCAACGATGACCCTAATGAGACCCCATGCCCCTCACTGAGGGCCTGCAGTGCATTGAGGGAACTGTTGGTATAACTATGGCTATTTCCTGTGCTGCTGCAAACTCCCACAGGGGAATGCAAGCTTCCTGCAGGGGAAAACTGACTGGGTGGGATGCGAGGACTGCCAGCCACGCCGGGGCTCATGCGATGCCTTGGTGAAAGCATGGAGGTGTGCTGCCCTGGATTCATGCCAGGGCTGCTTTGTGAGGGACTGTTCATTTTGAGTGCATAGTTACTACCCTGAGGAGTGGTTGCTTGCATGCCGGACACATGGTTCATTCCCCCAGAACCACCAAACCTGCCCATGGGCATGCCCATTTGTTCCTTTGGGCCATTAATGGGAAAATTTATATTGCTACTGAGGGTCATGTCCTGACCTGGGTTCCCACTGCACATGGCCTGATGGGCAGGACTGCTAGAGCTAATTGGATTCAATGGCTTCCCCATCGCTGGTGCAGTCAGATCCGGATTCATTACACATACATTCTGCTCTCTGTATAATGAGGAAAGAAACAAATATAAGATAAATGCAAGAATACTTAGCAAGTTGTTATTAATTTGAAAAATGAGATGGCCTCTTTTTTTTTTTTTATAAGATCAGGCTACTTTTAAAGGATAGACAATACTTAAATGAAACAATTGCCAATTATGGACAAGATTGAACAGGTACAGTTTTGGAACAAGAGGGATTTTTTTTTCAGGGAACTCATTAAGATGTCTGTGGTTTCACAGATGGAGTGTGCTTGACTTCTAGCATACTGAAATTTCAGTTAGTAGATAGGACATCACAGGGGTTTCAATTATACAATATATAGCTTCCTCACGAGTAACAAATGATAATGTCTCAAAAAATACTGCAAACAAATATAGCTGCTTTCAATTTTTTGCCAGAAATTATGTAATCTAACATAATCTAACAAAAAAACCCATAATCTAACAACAACACATCTGTTGGATTTGAGATATACTACTTGGCTCAAAATGAACAACAAACTGCTGGTTCTAGACTCAGCAATTACTACTGTTTGGAGTTAGATCATTTTGTCTAGCAGACTTCCACTCATTCCCTGCTGCCCCCTCCCCGCCCCCCGCCCCAAGTCACAGCAGGAGCCTTAGTCCCACAAGGGAGGACTTTAGAGAGAAGGTAGTTTGTCATCTAATCCCCCCCTGCTCCTGGGACACTCCAATCCACCCCTTAACTGATGACTAAAAGCAGGTTTTTGAGTGAGATGATTTATTTCCCAAGCCCCATGAGCTTTCATTTTCAGGCTTGGCAGTCACTTGTGAGTTACAAAACATGTTCACACATCCAAACAAAACAGGTTTCACAAATTGTCAAACATCAGCCTGCAGTTAGGTAGATGAAACCTGCCACAACTAAATCTGTAATCACTTTCAAATTGTTTTAGTTTGAGGTCAGATTTATTTACAGTTTGTAAATAGGGCTGCCTGATTTTTTAAAATTTCTACATTAGAAAGTAAATAATTGAGAAATGTAAAAAAAACTAGGATTCTAATGAAAGCAACTTGATTTATTGTCTGGTAGTACCTCATAAAGATTAATATAGCATAAAATAATTAAATATATACTTTGACATTTAACCGTTAAAGAATGTTCTTTTTTCTTTGGGCGGGGGGTGGTCCGACCGTGGGGCCTGAACCCTGGGCTTGGGTGCTGTCCCTCAGCTCTTTAGCTCAAGGCTAGCGCTCTACCACTTGAGCCACAGCTTGTTTTCTTTTTGCTTATGTGGTGCTAAGGAATCGAACCCAGAGCCTCATGCATGCAAGGCAAGCACTCTACCACTGAGCTACCTTCCCAGCCCCTAAAGAATGTTCTTAAAAATACAAGTTATGAGCCCAGTGCTGGTGGCTCAGCCTGTAATCCTAACTATGCAGGAGGTTGAGATCTGAGGATCACGGTTTGGAAGCAGTCCGGGCAGAAAAGTCCCTTGTGTCTCAAGTAGTAGAGTGCTAGCCTTGTGCACAAAGAGGCTCAAGGACAGCCTCTAGGACCTGAGTACAAACCCTATAACCGACAACAACAACAACAAAAATACAAGTTATGACATTTATTTTAAAATAATGTTTCAATTTTCTTTCTTCATTATAGAAATGTTTGTAAGCATTCAATTTAAAATCTAATATCAAAAAGTTAAACAAGAACAAAAATTTAAACTATTTCAAGAATATATTTGAAAAGTCTAAGATTTAAACACATGAGAAATCACAGCATTGACTTCAATATTCCTGCCTTTGTGAATCTGCCTTCTTCAATGCAAAGGGAGGTCATGTCAGAGTAAAGTTAATACTAGCCTTTGTTCTTCTAGCCAGGCCTTGAAATTTGCTAGCATTAAGGTCATCAAACGATAGCTCTATTTAATTTCCCAACAAGATGAGCTGGCTTTGACCACCAGTCAATAACAATTTAATTTTATATTTGTAGTATCAAGATAGACAAACAGAAATGTTTCATAAACTGTAAAACTCCAGCAAAATTTGTTGCTTTTGAAACACTTTCTCTCAACTTAGGAAGGGAAAATGAGTTCTTAGAATTAGAATTACCTGTGAAGCATATGTAAAGATATTACAAGCTGAGGCTCATTAGTAGTCTGAGAACGGATGAGTTTGCTCTTCGTTTGTGCAGCAACAAGAGTGCCATCAGACAAGGAAAAACGATAGATCTGACTGAATGCCAATCCTTGTCTCAGTACTGCAGGGAAACAAGTAAACATAATACACAGTTAGGAGGAAAAAAAAAGAAAAACACTGGTGCGTATGAGAAAGACATGTAATAGTAATTAACTTCATTAAATTTCATGGCATTTTCCTTCCAATATGTTAAAAAATTGTAAGTAATACATTATGATGTTAAAACAGTCCAATTTTTAAACGCATATGTTATTTTCACTCAGAATATCCAAAAACCCAGAAATTTGTCTTCTTATGAAAAAAAATAACGTCATGAGTCCTCAAACCATATACTTTCTCAGATCTTTAGTATCAAAGCAAAAAAAAGAGTGTTAAAGGTTTATTAGGTCCAAATAAGGCTTTGGATGACTTGTTTAAAAATGGATAGAAAAGGATACAAGGCAAATGCCAAAACATGGTATCTCTAATGAGTACAATTTGTCTTTGGTTTCCTATATAATACAATTATTAAATTGAAATTCATGACATTAAATGTGTTCTCTTAATATTCATATTGAAGTAATACACCGTTCAATCCATCATCTCATACTACTTTCCCCCACTTTTGTTTCTCAGAGTGCAAGTGTATTTCCATTGTTAAGACAACAGGAAGAAGATAATCAGAAGACTTTCTAAAGAAAAAGAGGCTATACAAAATTGAAACAATAAAAGTACAAATTGCAGTGACATATAATTGGTTTAACCTTTAGGTAAAGGTCAGATACTTCAAAACATCAAAATGACACAAATCAATTAGGTTATTATAATTTCTTTTAAATAATCTTGACTTTTATTTTTTTTTGGTCATGGGGCCTGAGTGCTGTCCCTGAACTCTTCTGCTTAAAGCTAGTGTTCTACCACTGAGCCACAACACCACTTCAGTTTTCTGTTGGTTAACTGGAGATGAGAGTTTCTAAAAGGTAACACAGATAAAACTTTTAGAATTAGGTTCACATTTCCAGTGGCTTATTTCAGAATTTATCTGACCTTGGCTGTGCTCTCTAAAAACTTCACATTTCCATTTATTCTATATCCAACATCTCTACTAAGCTAGTTTGAGCAAGTATGTACCCGAATCATTTCAGAAGCTCCCCCCATGTTGATTTCTATTCAATTCATAGAAAAGTCCCTGGTCTTACTTACTGATTTCCTAAGTATGAATGCTATATGGGATTTTTGTTGTTAATCTTATCTGTTTAAACCAAGCATGTGCCTGGCACATCAGGGTAAGGAACCATATGAACATGTTCATACATGAAGATTACTTAAATTTCTGTTATTATTCTTTTTTTTCAAGTGGTAGCTAGTAAAATGGTCGGTTAAATATTGATTTCTGTGAATCTTACTTTTTCCAACTTAAATGAAAATACTAGAAAGTGCACATTAGTGGATGCTAAGAAATTCTAAGACATATGCTAAGTAAAATGAGAAAAATTTAAGTGGAAACTGGAAAGTTCATTTATTATGAGATGTTCTTTTTTCATTAAGTAACCCAAAATGTATAAAGTGCAAACATGCAAACTGTCCTGGTAAAATGCCAAGGTCACAGATGCACATTAAATGGATGACAAACTACAACTCCATTTTCAACAATTATGAACAATTTTTTTTTCTGCAAAGATGCAGACAACTGTCCATGCTGTGTTATGAAGTACACTGCACTGTCATGAGTACTTCCTGTACTACAAGGCACACACTGACCAACCACAACCTGCCAATCACTGAGAGAAAGTGTCTTCCTCCTTGACTGTGCATTTATTAAAGCAAAAACATTCTTTAAAAAAAGACTGAAATGCACTTGAAAACAGTGACTTTAGAAAGACTGTTGGGAGCAACAAGTCATAATGCCCACCAGGGTGGGCTCAGGTGATATCTCAGCTGACACTGACTGAATGTTGGAGAGTCCACACTTGCCCTGCCTTGGCCTGCATGTATAAAAAGGGAGGGCTGAGATGCCTTGTTCACGGACCCTTCATTCCGGTGAGGGTGTGAGGATGCAAAGTAGAAATAAGGCCACACATAGACCAGGTTCTCACTGAAGGATGCAATATTTCTAAAAGATGACTTGAAGTCTTGAGTGTGTTCTAGTTGTCCTATTGTTACCTGAGAAGAGTCACTACATATCTCTGGGGCTTCAGGAAACATCCAAGTCATTGTTTGCCATTTCTTTGCAGGAAGACTTAAGATCCTACTGTTCTCTCTACCAAGGATTTAACTGTTGTAAATTTCATTTATTCCTATTTCCAAAATTTCCTTTGTGAATTAGATATGTTAGATGGTATCTTTTAACTCGTGATATGTCTGCTTAGAAATCTCAGGAGCAAAGAAGACAACCTCTTCCCTCATCCTTTTGTCTGTCTTTGTGACATTATTATGTCCTGCTCTGTATCCTCAGGAAGCATCTGAGGCCAGATGACACACAGGACCACTGTCTGGGACAAGCTTCAGGAATTACTGTCCCCACCCCCCAAACACCCTCATAGGAAGCAAATGTAACATTTTCTTTGAGAAAAGTATTGCTCAGAGGTGCTTACCTTCATGATGATGCCTCTTAGCATAGGATACAGATTCTCCTTCATGCTGTGCATGGAACTTCTGAATGCACCTTCTCACTAAATCCTCCCAGCCTGGTTTCATGGCTGCTCTCATGGTGCTAGTATCCAGAGAAGTGATCTTGCCTATCAGATAAAAGCAGGCATTATACTCATAGACTCATCTATTCCTTATGGGTATTGGCTCAGAGACCCAGTGGATACCAAAATGCATGGATGCCAAGGTTCCTTACATAAAACGAATAGAAATATTTGCAAATGTTCATGTACATCCTCTTACTTTTTTGTTTTTGGAACTTCAAAAGATGGCACAGGAGTTAGACTTTAACATGTACATGTAATTGTTCAGTGCTTCGTTGCTGAGTCACCTCTTCCATCGTTCTCCCCAACCCTGTCTATTCCCTCACCTAGACTCATTCATTCTTCTTTTTTTTTTGGGTCCAGTTGTGGGGCCTGAACTCTGGGCCTGGGCGCTGTCCCTCAGCTCTTCAGCTCAAGGCTAGCACTCTACCACTTGAGCCACAGTGCCACTTCCAGCTTTTTTCTTTTTGCTTATGTGGTGCTGAGGAATCAAACCCAGGGCCTCATGCATGCAAGGCAAATGCTCTACCACTGAGCCACCTTCCCAGCCCCTCATTTCACTCTTCTTGTATTTGTCCTCTGTTCCTTTTTTCATTAATTCACCTCCTCTCCCACAAGTCCAGTTCTTAGAATCTCATTTCAGCTTCCTGATACTCATTTAGTTAAAACTGTCTGATAACTATTTGAAAGGTTTACTCCATGGAATTTCAGTCCTGTATATACATACTCTCCGTTCACCAACTCTGCCCATATACTTTATTTAAATCATCTCTAGATCACTTTTTTTTTAAATAAAGTTTTAGCAAGGATTTAGCTTAGTGTAAAAAGGTTAAATTAGAGAGAAACAGCAACAGTTCCTACTCCCCATGCAGTAGATTGCTTCTGAGTCCAATGCAAATACTGCTGTATAAAGTTACTATCCTGTATTATTTAGGGAGTAATGGCAAGAAAATTGTCTATTATTTGTTCAGTATAGATATAATATTTTTCTTTTTCTTGAGTGTTTCTGACCCATGTTTAGCAGAATTCACAGAATTGGAACCTGCAGATATGGAGACTGTACAATACACAGACCCAAAGGATATTCAGGGTGTACCTAAGGGTATTCAGCCTTTCCTGCTCTGGTCCTCCAGCTCCTCAATACCTCTACCCCAGCAGCAATCACTTCTTGATAATATTCCAACTATGGTTCTTGTGTTCACAAATACCTAAAATTTTAGGGCTTCTCTGGAAAAAAAAAAATCTTACCTTGGAGATCTTGGCGAGTAGTAAAACTTTCAGATGAGGGAAGAACTGGTCTTTCCTTCATAGGGACTCTTCTTGCCACACAAATCAAACAGGACTGCAAATCTTAAATCATACACATTTATGTTTATGGTATTAGTTTTTTGGTAATCAAAATAAGTCACACACACACACACACACACACACACGCACAGCCCCCCCTCCGTGCACACACACACACACACACACACACACACACACACACACACACACACACACACACACACACACACACACACACACACACACACACACACACACACACACACACACACACACACAGCCCCTCCTCCCTGCCCAGTCTTGGGATGTGACCTCAGGGCCCTCAGGGCCTTGGTGCCGTTACTGAGCTTTTTTTGCTCAAGGCTAGCACTCTACCACTAGAGCCACAGTTTAACTTGTTTGTTTGTTTGTTTTTGGTGCTTAATTGGAGATAAGAGTCTCATGGGCTTTTCTGCCTGGATTAGCTTCATCTGGGATACTCATATCTCAGCCTCCTAAGTAGCTAGAATTACAGGTATGAGTTATAGGTGCCTGGCTTAAAAAGAATATTTTTATTTGCTTATTATTATTATTTTGTGCTGGTACTGGGACTTGAACTTGGGGCCTGGATGCTGACCCTGAGCTTTTTCTATGCAAGGCTAGAGCTCTACCACTTGAGCCACAGCTCCACTTCTGGTTTTTGGTGGTTAACTGGAGATAACAGTTCTATGGACTTTCCTGCCTGGGCTGGCTTGGAACCATATTTCTCAGATCTCAGTCTTATAAGTAGCTAGGACTACAAGTCCTTTTCAAATTAAAAAAGGGTGGCCAAAAAACTGATACAAAGAATAATCTCCATATATATATATGTATACACACACATACACACACACACATATATTTTTTTAATCGGTCGTGGGGCTTGAACTCTGGGTCTGGGCACTGTCCCTTAGCTCTTCAGCTCAAGGAGAGCACTCTACCACTTGAGCCACAGATTCACTTCTGGTTTTCTGAGTGGTTTATTGGAGATAAGAGTCTTATGGACTTCCATACCCCAGCTGGCTTTGAACCATGATCCTCAGATCTCAGCCTCCTGAGTAGCTAGGATTACAACTGTGAGTCACCAGCACCCAGCTTCTTTATATCTTCTTATGTCACTGATTTATGATTGTTGCCCTTAAACTTAGGAAGTTCTTGAGATACATCCAATAATAGCTAATATTTCAAGATTAAAATTCATCGTTGGAGTTACAAGTGTAGTTCAGTAGTCAAGACCATGTTCATCATGACTCAGGCCCTGGGTTTGATTATTATCAAAGTACCCATACATGCACACACATGTACACATGCACACACACACACAGAGTAATCATCATCCTTCAACAAAATAAAAACCAAAGCTTTGAATGCATACTATGAGATAAACCTCTTTCTAGCCATTTTATAGATTATCAACTCTGTTAGTCCTCTCACCAATTCTGAGGCAGGTAGTCACATTATTTCCACTTAACAGAGGAATAAGTAGAAGTGCAAAGTTTAAGAAACTTGCCCAATATCCTATCATATTTTAGTGAAGCTAGACCTCAAATCTGAGCACACCATGGTTTAGAAACTCTACTTTATACTGGGATATAAAGTTCAGTGGTGGAGTGCTAGGTATGATCTCTGGTAGCACAAAACAAAACAAAACAAAAAGAAACACTGCTGTTACATATCTGATTTTAAATATGCAAAAAATGTTCCAATCTGAAGCACAAAATAATCAATTAGCACAGCTGTACCTTTGTTATACCGTTTTAGAATACTATCACAGGTGAATTAGCAGCACCTGACCCTTTTTTGTTTTGAGGCAGTGTCTTACTATAACACAGGCAAACTTATGGTCCTACTGCTCCATCTCCTGACTACTGTCTCTGCCATGAAAAAATGTAGAGTAGAAAACTAGGCTGGAGACATGGCTCAAGTAGTAGAGAGCCAATCCAATGAGGTAGCCAAGTGAGCACAAGATCCTGAGTGCAAATTGCAGAATTGCAAAAGATTTTTTTATTTTTTGGCCAGGCCTGAGGCCTGGGTACTGTCTCTGAGCTTCTTTTGCTCAAGGCTAGCACTCTACCACTTGAGCCAGTGTCACTTCCAACTTTTTCTGTTTATGTGGTACTGAGGAATCAAACCAGGGCTTCATGCATGCAAGACAAGCACTCTACCACTAAGCCACATTCCCAGCCCACAAAAGAAATTTTAAAGTCCATTTTAAATAAGAAGTACTAAATAACTAGTATTCAATGACATCTATGGTTTAGTCATTTTTTGTAAACTTGTTAAAAATTAAAAAAATTATTTAGTGTTTTACATGTGTCAAGCAAGGGTTTTATCACTGAGCTATAGCCCCAGCCCTAAACCTTATTACAGTCTGATACTGGTATTATTGATTTCACTTGCTAATAAACTGATATTCAAAGAGGTTAAAGAACTTGGCCGTAGTCACAGAGCTTGTAAATGGTGAATTAGAAGCTGGCCTGTCTGATTACATAGCACAGGACTTTTCTCCTACTTTGCTTTCTCTACAAATGTGGAATGTGTTCTCCAATACTTGTGCTACAGAGAGTAGCAACTAGCTGTGTGAAACACCTTGACTAGGGTTACGGAGGGGTATACACCAATCAATATCTCTTTATGGTAAGTAGCCTATGAGTTTACATAATCTGAAGCCTCTCCTTTCCATATTTTCATATCTTCTACTAAACTGTACTGTAGACTCTGTCCATGGAGAGGAATTCCATGAATTCCTTTGAAGTACATTTAAAAAATATTATTTGTGTTGGGTGCCAGTGGCTCATGCCTGTAATCCTAGCTACTCAGGAGGCTGAGATCTGAGGGTCTCGGTTTAAAGCCAGTCTGGGCAGTGAAGGCCGTAAAACTCTTATCTCTAATAAACTACCAGAAAACTGGAAGTGGCACTGTGGCTCAAGTGGTAGAGCGCCAGCCTTGAGCTGAAGAGCTGAGGGACAGCGCCCAGACCCAGAATTCAAGCTCCATGACCGACAAAAAAAAAAATTGTACCTTTGTGTCTTATTTGCATTAGATGTTTGAAGGAACTTTGTAGCCCCTGAATATTTAACCACTATTAGAGCTGCACTGGACACAGTCACTAGTAGCAGGTGGCTATTTAAATGTAAATTTAATTTAAAAAAAATGCAACCCCCTGGTTATATGCATTATAAGTGTTCAAGAGAAATGTGAATCATGGCCACCGTGCTGAACACTGAAAATAAGTCCCTTTCATCATTGTAGAACATTCTCCTGGACAGTACTGTTCTAGGAACTTAAAAACTGAAATTACTGCCAGGCTCATGCCTCAGGGTTCAGGAGGCTGAGATCTGAGGATTGCAGTTCAAAGCCAACCTGGGCAAAAGTCCATGAGACTCTTATCTCCAACTACTCAGCAAAAAGGAGGAAGTGAAGGTATAGTTCATGCAGTAGACAGTCAGCCTTGAGTGAAAATAGCCAAGTGAGAGGCCCTGAGTTCAAGCCCAGAACTGGCACCAAAAACAACAAAAACAGACAAACAAAACCTCATTTGAATTTGTCAAAAAAGAGAGTCACAACTGAAAAGGAGCCAGAAACTGCTTCTACGTTTTCTTGGTATAGATTATTAAGGGTGAGGAATAAATTCATAGATACATTAACTCCTCTAGGTCTGTCTTACCTTCTCCTTCTTCTTTGATGGACTTTGGTTGAGAGACCGCAAAGCACTGCATAATTTCATATTTCTGGTGTGCTTCCTGGTTATCATGACCTTCCTCTTCTGAATCAGGTAAAGGTTTTACCAGCATCCGACAGTTGAAGGTATGGCTGTTCCGCCTAGGAGGTTCTCCAGACCAAGATCCCCCGTTCACTACCAAAGCAAGAGTTATGCATCATTACAAGGAAACCACAACAGATTCACTGCCGCTAAACTACCAAAAAATAGGATCACTTTACTTTTATAAGTGCTTGATTCTTTTCTAAATACTTTGATAATCTAGAGGGAAGAAATTCTTAAGTAAACATTTTAACAACCTGGGAACCTCCTTGGAATTTTCAAAACACCTATATTCCTTTCTACCCCATTTTTCTTCAAGACCATATCTTGATTTCTTATTATTAAATGTTATAGTTTCTATTTTTGAGTTTTCCTGTGATTTCTCAGAAGCTTAGTTTTATGTGCTACCTACTACCCTATACCTAGTGAATGATATCAACTGTTAAATACATTCAAGTTTTTTAGAGCACTTGGACTTCTATAGTCAGGAGTAGAAGGTCCTTTCATTAGTGATGGGGCCTCACTATTTAGCTCCATTCCAACCATCTCAACTGATCTTGCACCGCTACCACACCTAAAATATCAGGTTGATTCTAACTCCCTCTAAGGAGCTTGTATTCCAAGAGCTTCTATAATAAACACTTTACTAACTACTCAGGTACCCACTGCTTCCTCTCCTCTTTTTTCTTTTTCTTTGGTGGTGGTGGTGGTGGTACTAAGGTTTAAACACAGGGCCTCTCACTTGCTAGGCAGATGCTTAACCCTTTACAATATGCCTCTAGCCCTCATACTGCCTTGTCTTACAGATCTTTCTATAGAAACTTTCCTGTATAGGCTGTAAGTTAGCTGCTTCTGAAGTACTCCCATGCAATCTCTCTTAATGGCTCCAGCCATAGTTAGTTCTTTAACAATACTGAAATGTCCCTAAAGATGCAATGTTAACGTGATTTACTTCTTTACAGATGCAAAACTCCATACACCTTCTATTTTAGTATAAAAATGTATATATCAATTTAAAAATTAACTTAGGAAAGAGATATTGAGCCAGGTGCTATAATCCTTGCTACTCAGGAGGCTGAGATCTGAGGATCCTAGTTCAAAGCCAGCCTGTGGAGGAAAGTCTATGAGACTTGTATCTCAAATTAATGACAAAAAAAGGGGAAAAGAAGCCAGAAGTAGAGTGGTGGCTCCAGTGGTAGAGTGCTAACCTTGAGCAAAAAAGTTCAAAGATAGCAGCCAGACCCTGAGGTTAAGCCCAGGACTGGCACAAACAAACAAACAAAAAACAGAAAAAAAGGAAAGAGATATTCAACTAAAGCAGGGCATTAAGGAAAACAAGGACTAATTTGGGGGGGGGGGGGTATTACCATGTTTATGGGTCAGATAAGAAATTAGATATACAAAAGCATGTTCAACTTGTAGAATACCTGCATTTAGTATCAATCCTTTTACTTTGGTTTTCTTTTCTTTGCCATTCCCTGTACTTTATTAAAAAAAATTAGGTCCAGTACAAAAACGAAAAAAGAAGATAAAAATCAGCAACCAAAAGAAAAGCAAGAATGCCCGTGGAAGTCGCTAATCAATGAGCACTGTAGACAATAGTTATTATGGTAAAACTACTGCTAAATCCCTGGCTTCTAGGCTGTTGAGGGATTAAAAAAAGCTCTAGACAGAAAACAGTAAACCTCAAGTTAAAATTACAGAAGGACCTACAGCCAGCCTGCTACATTTTCCTAGACATCGGACACTCTTGTTTCATTACCATCACTTGTAAAAGCTCATTCACGTCATGGAAATTATATAAAGCAATTAGTGGGAAAAAGAAGAAGAGTTCTTATTAATTTGAATTAATACTAAGGTGAAAGTAAAAAAGAATGGCAATGAGTTCTTTTGAGAAGTGAATTAATAAGTATAGGTCCTTTGAGAAAGTCATGAAATCACCGAAGAGATCTGAAAATATACATTACTTGAAATAAGAGATTCACTTTCTTCTTCATTTATTAAAGAATATAATAAAGGAATCCCACTCTAGTATTCCTAAATTGTGTATTAATGTTGCAGTTGCTTTGAACAAAGGGTTATCCTGTCAAGGAAAAGCTAGCCATAATGGAATTTGAAAAGGATTGTTCCTATGTACCTTGATGACAATAAGACCCGCTAATATAAACGGTTTTAAGAAAAAGAATAGAAACACTTGACAATTCAGACCTGACCTTATTCTGTACTAAAATATGCACTCCTTTTATCAGTGAAGATGTTCTTAGCATCATCAGTTTAAGTGAGAATATTTAAAAAGAAGCACTGACTAAGTGGGAATCGCAGTGCTCTGAGGCAGCAACTAATGTGGGCCCATGCTGTGAACCTCACCACAGAAGGTGGCCCTTAATCATCACACACACTTCTGGGCAGTATCTCCAAAGCAAGCTGAAGAAGCCAGGGAATCTGAGCCATGGTGAGTGGGCTATGGAGGCAGTGTTTGTGATGGAAAGAACCCATTGGGGCTGCAGGGCTGGTGTGCTGGAAGCTCTCTCGATGACACTTGTTCCTGTAGAATTTTGTATACACACATCATACTCGTTTTCACCAGTAGGACTCAAAACGAGCTGAATCTCACTTCTAATGACCTACTTTTCAGGTGGACAAATTCCAGGTGGCTAGTATTGGGTAGGGCAAGGTGAGACAATTTGTTACCTTCTTTCTCTCTTTCTCTCTTGTTTTTGGTGGTACTGGGGTTTGAACTCAGGGCCATTTTAGCCATTCCTTCTGCCCTATTACCTTATTTAAAAAACAAAAAAACAAAACAAATAAACAAAACCTCTGAAAATCGTTGTCATGAGTACTTGTCATATGAATAATTTTCATGTACTTTATATAGGATCAAAAGGATCATTCAATTCAAGATCAGTATCCAAAGACATCCTTCTTTTCATGACTTCTAATCTTAAATACTTAAGTGCCTCTAAATCCTACCAAGTCCCTCAAATTCCCAACTAACAAAAATACCGATCTATTTTACCCATTCCAACCAAAACAATCTATGTGAACAGTATGGGGAAGGGACGTGGGGGACCGAGGCCCAGCAGACAGCAGAATGTCATTCACCTATAGACTTTGGCAGCAGGTTTTTGACAAATTCAGTGTGGTCCCCAACGTGCAGGATGCTGTATACGCTTTTGTTCATCAGCTCTTCTTGGTTATACCTTAGATATTGTGTCACATTCTCTGAAACAAACACCACATTGCCTTCCAGATTCACCACAAAGAAGAACCCATCAAGGGCCTAGAGAAAAAGACAAATGGTTATATACATATTATATGCAATTTTTAAGAAGAGAAGGATCCCTTCAAGGGAATCAATTCATATATGGATAGAAAAAAGATCTCTCTAGCCACTTTACAAGTTTTGGAAAACAGAAATGATTCCATCTTAGATTAAGCTAAGTGATAAACAACAAATTTATCAAGTTATAACTACTACCAAATAAAAGTGATTAGGCATCATTCTCTGTATTTTAAAAATGAAAATGAACTACTCCACAAGACTCAGCACAACTTTGATGTTACTAACCCAATACGCAGTCCTTTGTTTCATAGTTTTTCACATTATACAATAGGAGTAAGAGATCAATGAGACTTTTTCCCCCTCAGATTAAAAACAATGACCAAAGACCCTCCCTCCCCCATTTTAACACTTGTAAAGTTGCCAGGGTTTAGGGAAAGAATTTCAGATCATCTCAGACCCTGAGAGTAACATCAGTTTTTTATTGTTTGGCAGGTTCAGAGAAGGTTCTGGACAGGGTCTGTGATATGGCAATGTAGTTTCTGACATGGGAAACTCATGTGAACTTCAGTATTTCTAGTGCGTATTTTCCAGATGAAGATGTGGGTTCCCAAATTACCAAAGTATCAGTAGCATGCTTCTTATATGGCTGCAAAGTCCCATTCTTTGTGTCATCTCAATTCAGATTAGGAAAAAGAGATGAAGAATCGAAGATCACTCAGAAAGTAAAGGTAAACTAACAACAACAATAATAGTAATAATAGTAGTAGCTATTGGGAATGTTTACTGTGCTTTACACACAGCTGTCATTATAATATTACAGCTGTCATTATAATATTTTCAACTCTCAAAGCAATGTTTTCATTTTTCCTCATTTACAGAAGAGGAAACTGGGCTCAAAATGGTATATGACAGCTTAACTAGTCAGTGGTAGAACTGGGATTGGAATCCAGATGAACCTGACTCTAGAGATCATGCTTTCAGGTACCAAGGAGCAGGTTATTTTCTTACAGTATCTATTCCAAGTCCACTTTCCACCGAGTTTGCACTGACAATGAAAAGTCTGGTCGTTCACTCCGTTTTTCCTAGTTATATTAACTCCTCTTTCCCTTTTGACCCATAGAGCTATGTTTTATGGGTCAGGTACATGATCAGGACTAGAAAAAGTTTGAGACCAATCAGGGCCAAAGGGTCTAGTCAGTTTATGCTACTCCACAATACATGCTTTATTTAACATAAATGTTTTATGTACATTCCCATATAACAGTAGACATGGATGGGGCCTAAAGTGTTTACTATCTCCTTAGTTTGCTTTTTCTATAAGCTATTATTTTACAAGACTCCTGCTTGGTGAGTCATCTTTGATATATTCTGTTTTTAATTCTATTCCAAAGCTGAATGTTCTCTCAATCTAGAAGTGACCATAAGGTAACCAGTTTGAAGCTCCTTCTTTTTTTTTTTTTGGTGCTGGTCCTGGGACTTCAAGTGGAACCTAGGTACTGTCTCTGGGCTTTTCTGCTCAAGGCTAGTGTTTTACCCCTTGAGCCACAGCTCCACTTCTGGCTTTTTAGTGATTAATTGAAGGTAAGAGTCTCTTGGCTTTTCTGTCCAGACTGGCCTTGAACCATGATCCTTAGATCTCAGCCACCTGAGCTATTAAAATTACAGGAATGAGCCACTGGTATCAGGCATTCTTTCTTTTTAAAAATTTAAGTCTAACATTACTTGGCTTTCTGTTTTTCTTAAATATTCTGTCATGTGCAGTCACTAGTATAAAACATACTTAGGGCAAAGCAAAACTACCATTATATTGGCCTTCTACAGTAGGCTGCCAGGAAACCTGTACAGTTTTATGCATTGGTAGTAGCAGGGAACAGGAAGGTAGTCAGGTGATTAGTTATGTGCCTAGCATCCCTTCTAAACTCACTGTTTTAGCTGCACATTCAACAAGGGTTTTCATAATTATATTACTTCTCATTCACTTTTGAGAGTGCACATTGCTTATATTGTTTTGTAACATGATAAAAAGACTAATTTGTGGCCTGATAAAACTGAAAGATGGAAGTGGTTCATCTCATAAAACTGTTTTTTCAATAGCTCACTACGATATGGTCTGATGAAAAAAAAGCTGACATTTGGTTCTGTTGCTTAGAAACCACTATGCTATGATGCAAGCATGAGTGTGCATCTAGGCCTCAAAACAGCTCTATGGGAACATGTTTTCTCTGTTTAAATAATGACATGTAAACAGGAGTAAAATGTAAATTCAAGTCCTAAGTCCCTGATTCATTCAAGCACTTTCTAATATATTTAGCACTAATGTCCTACACATGTACTTGACTCAACGCACTGAATTCTCAAATAATTTTGAAATAGCAAAAATGCTGGCTTCATTTTATTTAATCAGGTCCACGGACAGCTAGCAATCAGTTTGTGCAATTAATGAACTTGTTCTCAAATGGCTTGAGTTGCAGAATGACGTTACACTAAAGCTCCTTTTTAAGTTTCTTTTTAGATGCCTTAAGTCTTCCTAGGATTTCCCACTGTATTCCCCTGACCGCCTCCCCAGACATAGTAAATAAGCATGGTGTGTGGAAATTTCCCAATTGTAACAATTTAAATTCCAATAATTTTCAAATCAATTTCCTGTTTGTAGTTCAAAAGTTTTCCAAAAGAAATTACCCACTTTCTTTTATGTAATTCCTATCATCTACCTGGTTACAGTTTTCATTATCTGCTTCTAAGAAACAAGTGCAAGTAGCATTCTCTGGCCTACTGCCTGAATGGGTAGGGAAAATCAGGTTAAACATGTTTCTGTTTTTTCCCTGGAAATGGTGGTTGACTGCTTTCAAGCCAGTGATTCAAGAGAAGATAAACAAGGCTCAACACAGGGTCATTGAAAGCCTCTTGGCCAGCAGGTCCAGCCTCAGGGAACAAATTTTGTTATTTCTTAAGTACAAATACTGGGTCAGATGATCTTTAATCTTTTCTGTCTCTTCCCTACCTTCTGCCCTCAATTATACAGATTTTCATAGAATTAGATGTTCTAAAAATAAAAATCATCTATGAACCAACTGAAAAAAGAGACAGTAAGATTGGAAGAGTTCTGGCTGTTTTAAAATCCTAATTTCACATATATGTGAGGCTGCTGCAGCAAGCGAATTGATTCATAATGACAATGCTGCTGCTCCTGGCGATGCAGTACTTTTCAGCCTCAGCCTATCATCAGCAGAGTAAATTATCCTGAGAACTGACATAATTTATGTCTCGGGTTCTGCAGTTCCTTGTTATATATTCACTGACATTTTTTTTCCTCTCATCTTACTATAGCCCACATCTTGAATTTTAATTTTAAATCAGGTACAGCAAAGCTCTTTGAATTTTGTACAAGTTAGTAAGAAAGGAAAGCTGGTGCTACAAATCTCAACAGTAGATGGTCATCTAACTTCTCAAAGTTAATACAGAGGCAGTTAAAGCCAACTACCAACTATTCTTTATCTTAAATGTTCATTCTGTCTCTTATTTCAACTTTATTTTTGAGATTAACCAGCACATTTGAAAACGTACACATAAAAAGCATAATGCTCCTTTTAGGTTCTTGAGTTCTAATCTATTGATACAGGTTTAGGTACATGGTACACATAAAACGTATGACTGGGGAATATTCAAATTAAAATATGTCATAGAACGTAATTGACCTGCAAAATGTTTTCCAAAAGTGGGTACTTGCCAGGCATCTGTGGTTCGCATCTGCAAACCTATCTATGAAGAAGGTTGAGATCTAAGTATCAAGGTTTAAAGCTACCCAAGCAGGAATATCTGTGACATTCTTTTCTCCAATTAGCCACCAAAACAAGCCACAATGGAGCTGTGCCTCAAGTGGTAGAGAAAAACCAAATCAAAACAAAGCAACAACAACAAAAAAAAGAGTGCTCAAGTGGCAATTTAAACTAGTTAATCTAATTCTGTGTTGTTAATTTCAAACCTAATACTAGAAGAGCCAGGACATAGGTATTTACATATACACATATTATTAAACTCAAGCTCTGTAGTACTTAGTGTAGATTCTACTCTAATTAATTCACCTGAAATTAAATCTAATCAAGTGAAGATCAATAAAATTTAAATTACAGAAACAAATGAGGAAAGTGTTACCTCCAGCATCATAGGCCCCAGAGCATCCTTGTCAATGACACCCTGCCCTGTAGATGACACGTCTGACTTCTGCACTTCATCTATGTTGGCAGCTGCTGCTTTCTCTGCAACAAACATAAAAGTGAATTAAATGGTGGTACTATTTCAAGGGCAGAGTGACACAGAAATATTTTTATTGTAATGATTTATAAAATCTCTAGTGGGATCAGATGTGGCTATAAGAGAGTTAGATTACTCTCCCACCATGCCTAAACACAGAGAGGGCTGGCAGCAGGAGCCAGGCATTAACTTTTCACCTTTAGAACCTGTGGCTCGGATCCCCTTTCAGGCTGAAGAGAAAATGAGTTTAGAGGTTTTGTGCTAGTCTTGGCAGGCATTTTCCCCCCCAGATTATGAAACCACTATATACTATGGCACAATTAGTTTCTACTCAAGAGATTCCGTAAACTAGGATAAAGGAAGGGTTGGTCTGTTGCTCTCAATGTAAGAGCATTAGCAGGGATATAGCTGCACACATCTGGAGAAGAAATAGTAGTGTCCTAACCACCTATAGCTGTTCCCACATGATATTCTAGGAGGTCTGCCTTGACTCTTACTATTCCACTCCTGCTCACACTGACATTTTAGACATGGTTCCTAACTTGTTGAAAAGGCTTAATGATTTAAAATAGAGGGAAGGGACCTAACTGGTGAGGTACTCGGAGAAGACCAATAGCTATGATCTGATCTGCTATAGAGGTGTATCATAATGCTCCAGGACTGAAACTCAAGGGTCACGAGACATCCCACAAGGATGAGATATTTAGTGAAAAAGCTCACAGAAGAGATGCATACCTATCTATCTATCCATCCATCCATATATATTCATATATATATATATATACATATAGTTATTTCAAGAGCACCACAAAAGGTTAAAGTGTAACATACCTATCAACAATCCTCTAGAAAACAACACAGAAACCATGTGCCAATTATTTGTAACTGAATAAATTATACCTTTTTTTTTACACCACATGTGAACATTGTACAGTAAGCCTACTGTATTCACAGATTATTACACACAGTTTTGACCACTTGTGGTAAAAAACACAATTATTTTTTTAAAAAATCAAAAGAAATTTGAAAGTAATTTTTTTTGGTCAGGCACCAGTGGTTCATGCTTATAATTCTAGCTACTCAGGAGGCTGAGATCTGAGGATCGTGTTCAAAGCCAGCTGGGATAGGAAGGCCATGAGACTCTTATCTCCAATTAACCACCAAAAAAACTGAAAGTGGAGCTGTGGCTCAAGTGGCAGAGCACTAGCCTTAAGTGAAAAGCTCAGGGAGAGTGTGTAGGCCCTGAGTTCAAGCCCTAGGACAACACAAAATTTGTTTAATCCCCTAATGCCTCAGTATGAAGCTTGGCTAATACAGTGCTCAGTCAGTCCTATGTATTGTTAGCTATGTTTAAATCACTGCACGATCGCTTTGCCCTGCATTTTGTGAAAATCTACCTCCCCCAAAGCAAACATTACTCAAGAACCAAGGTAAAAATGAATATATCTAGTCTAAAGGATAGAGTGCAAATTATGTTTTTTGGAAGATGGCATGGCAGAAGTAGGGCAGTGTTATGGGGAAAAATGAATCATGTGGCTGAGGTACAGTACTGAACTCTGCATGCTGATCATTGTTTCCTCCATGACAGTCTCCTTGGAACCACATACACACAAGATAACAAGAGTGTACTATAATTAAATGCAAAAAAAAAATACAACATACAACTCACACAATCGATTTGTTCCCATGACTCTGGGAACAAATACATTGTACACATAAATTGACATGCTGAATTGAAATCCCTTTTACAACTATTTATAGATAATTTAAAAAATAAACATAATGTCACTTCACAGGATACCTTTCCCTCCATCTTTCCAGAATCTCTTTCATTTCAAGTAGAACCTGAATCAATGTAACATTTGACCATTTCACTTTGTAAGCTGTAGATTTCTCAGGTTCTGCTCACTCTGTTACTCACAGAGCAAGGACAGAACATGTCCTATCTATCTTATCTGCTCCTTCATCTTTTTCAGGGAACATTTGGCTGGAGAGCAGTTCTGGACTTACCTCATGTGCTTCCACCCACATTGCTCTACGTGTAATCTCACTAGCAATGGATAGGGAATTTAGGACCTTGTGCATGCTAGACAAATGCTCTACCACCGAACTATACCACAACTTGATGCTCCTTTTATTTATCTATCTATTTTGAGTGCCATTCTGGGGCTTGAACTCGGGGCCTGGGCACTGTCTCAGAACGTTTTTTCTGTTCAAGGCTACTACTCTGCCATTTGAACCACAGCTCCATGTTGCCTTTTTGGTGGTTAATGAGGTAAGAATCTTAATGGACTTTCCCTGCCTAGTATGGCTTTAAACTGCAATCCTCAGCTCTCAGCCTCCTGAGTAGCTAGGATTACAGGCGTGAGCCACTAGCACCAGCACTGCACCTCTTTTAACTGCCCTACTTTATGAAGGCCCTTGTATGCTTCAGATAAAAACTTTACTAGTACCAAATCTCAAACCTATGTACATGTCAGATATTATGGATTTACATGGTCCTGTTATATTCTCATTTCACTTTTAGTTTTTATATGTGAAGAAGTAAGGTGCTACCATGCTGCAGGTTAGTTTTCTGTACTTTTTTCCTTTGATGCCTCATTACCCACAGAAATACTATATGTGTTCCTATCAGAAACTCCCTGCAGCAGCAACAATGTTCAAGTTGGAATGCTTTAGGAGATCTGTGAGAATATACAGTGAAAATCTGAACATAGATTGAAGGCCTTTCTTACATGAGTCTGACTGATACATTCCAGTGGGTTTCCCTGTGCTCCTGGGGCCCATGAATTATGCTATTCCACCACACAGTACAGAAGGTCCCTGATGGCTAGCACTGACCTCAAGCAAGTTTTTCACTAAGTATGTTGTGTCTGACTGACAGAATAGACTCTTCCCTGCACTCATTCCTCCGAGGGTAGAAGTGAGTCAAGTTGATGGTAGGTGGAAAGAGGGACTAACTATCCCCTGGCCCTGCAGGGGACACAGGGACAGGAAAGCAAAGAGACATAGGCAGATTCACGGAATTAGGAGTTTAGGGTTTCTGGAGAACAGGTTCTAACAAGAAAGTTTTTTGACTTTCATACTTCAAGGTATCTCATCTTCACCAGTTCCATTTTTCCACTGTTAAAACATTTTCTTCTACCTTTTAAACAATGGATGTGGGTGGAAGTAAAGCTCAGTGGTAAAATGTGAGGTCCTGAGTTTGGTTTCTGACCACACTCTCCAAAGAAAGAAAAAAGAATGGATTTAATTGTAAGAAAGATTGATGTTGGGAGAGTGAAAGATGAGCACCTAATATTGGCCAGTAGAAAACTTCAGCTTTTATGATATGAGATTCTAAAATTATAGCAATAGTGAATCATTGTTTTCTGTAGCATCTATACTAATGCTTTATTTTAGGGTTAAATGAAAAAAAGAATGATGCTTATCATACTTGGCTTTTGAGTCTTTTAGATACACAACCACTAAACTTTGTGAGATGTTTATATTTTGAGATCTGCTCAACTTTCTGAGGACTTAAATTTTTGTGAAATTTAAAAATACTAGGATAATTCAACCGGGCAAGTTCCCAGAGAAATCTTGATGTTTGGATTTTCCTAATGTTACAGTAACATGCCCTGGCAAAAATTTTAGGGTTTTATGAGATATGCATTATCAGTACCAACTGGTACAGAATTTTTAAATTCAATATAATTTAAGATAAGGGACTACATTTTAAATTAGGAGATAATTTAGTTAAGTTAAAATGTGTTTGGGGCATTACTGGGAACCTTAGATTAAATGATTACCCTGAAATACTATTTATAATAACAAAATAAGCCCTTTATAGTATTAAGCTGATAAATGTTTAAAAGAAAAGTAACAGCAGCTAATACTAGTGTCATAGTTTGAGAGGCCTCTGTGAGGAGGTAGAACACTGCCTGGGAGATGGGTCTGTGTCCTATCTGGGACTATAGGTTGGTTCAAGTAAAGTGAACAAGCCTCTAGCAAAAATCTGGAACTTTAGCCAGGAGCAAAACAATTACAATTAAATGAATGACAAGGCCTTAACTGCAAGGAACTAATTTTGAGTTCCAAACAGAGAGAAAAACAGCTGGCCATGGCTGAAAATATTTTTCCTGTGCTGTGGGATGTGCATGTGGATGCAACAAAGACACATGGTAATGGATGTGTGGCATTAGGCTACTAGAAAACTTCAGGCTAGCCTTGAAAAACAACACTTAGGAATACTGGCAAAAAAGCACAACTGAGCTGTCGCTCTAGCAATCCTTAACTTGAAAGCAAAAGCAAAAACAAAAACCCTGAACATTTTCATTTGAGCATTTTGAAATAGTGGAACATGGAACTTAAAAACTCCAAATTAGTCTAAAGATTGCAAGAGAACTTTGAACAAAACGTTGCAATGCTTACATAAATGCAATTTAGATACATTAAGAGAATGAGGACTTTTCATTACTTGTGATGTAAACAAAGAAAAGCCAAAGAGATAGGAACTCACTCTTCTCTTCACAGGCATGTTTGAAATATATGTAATTTCTACCCAACTTGTTATCTATTCTTCAATTCTGAATTGATTTTATGCCTTGGCTTTTTCTCAGTATTAAAAAAAAATCAGTATGAAGTGATAGAAAACACCTAGAAATATGGTTTCAATAATATAAGTGAAATTTGAATTAAACTAATCCTGAATGTTATTTGAGTATTTCAAGAAGTAATACCTCTATTCAGTGGAGCCTTGAAATTAAATAGTGGGTGGAGGAGGAGAAAGAAGGGAAGTAGAAGAGAGGGTGGCAGAAAGAGGAAGATGAAAAGAAGGACTCTTTTGAAATTTAGTATTATGCTAATTGGACATATGCTGGTATCTTGACAGAGCATTTCAGTCATGAGTATGTTGTTTTTTTTTTTAATGTGAGAGATAAAAATAAGCTTAAATCCTTAAGATATATTTCTCTGTCTGTAAGTACAGCATTACTATACTAAAACACAGTTCAATATTTTTAAA